AGGTTGATGACGATGATGAAGGTGTGTGTTGTGTGTGTGTTGTGTGTGTTTTGTGTGCACGTCCACTCATGTCGCAGGTCACTATATGACAGTAGTGCAGATATTATGAGTCTATGCAGGTTGTTTTCACCGGTGCCAGTAGCTCCTGTTTCACATTTAAGTTGTAGGCGATTTTATATATATTTATATATATATATATATATATATATATATATATATATATATATATATATATATATATATATATATATATATATATCACATCGGAAGAAGAATTTCCAAGACACAAATGCGTTTTTACCAATGCACTGCTGCTTCCACTGTGTGACTGACACCGCCAACTTTAACATGACGTTTACATCGCTCTTATTGCGCGCGTTCTGTTTGGGTTTCTGGCAATGAGTGGAATTACCGAAATAAAAAAATAAATAAATGGGATGTAGCACAAAATGTGAAAACAGGAAAATACCGCCTTGTAATCCACTTATTTCAGCAAAGTAACTGTAATCCAATTACCACTCATTGAAACAGTAACTGTAACGGAATACAGTTACTCATAATTTGTACTCTGATTACGTAACGGCGGTACATGTAATCTGTTACTCCCCAACACTGATTACTTATTATAAATGTAAAGTAAAATAAAGTACTTTACTGTTCTAAAATGAAAATAATAAGTGACTTTACCAACTTCTCAATGCTCTTGCCCGTAGACTGTGTATATAAATGGACTTTTTTAACCTGCTGTTCATATTATTCCACTCTACACGATACTGGTGTTTTTATTTCACAATTTTTTCTGTAAATCAGTTCCTATTATGCAACTGGCTTGAAATTCGCTCCTGTAACTACCAGCTGCGGTGAGTCTCATTTGACTGGAGCCTGACGCTATGGGTGATGCCACACACCCTTAGTCCTCTTCGTTATGACGTTTATGATCTTGTCTGATGTCCAAAACTAAGAAGGGTGGGGGGTGTTAGTAGCCAGGATGACGCCACCTCAGCTCAGATTCATTTCTCTTAACAGCTAGGTCAGGAATCGGAATACACTTGACGGTTTGCATGAACCCCAGAAGTTGTAGACTGCGCACCGGCCAATCAGCGAAGAGTTAAACCAATCTGAGTTGCGATATCAGACTGCATACTCTGTCCTCCTTTGGACTTCCTTTGTCATATACAAACTTCGCATTTTTTATTGCATCTTTAATTCGCAAGTTCATCTCGCAGAAATGACAATAATCGTTGACAGACAAGTTCACTCTCTGCTTTGTTTACTGTTGTGCCGGCAATTATTTGGACACCACTGAGCGTTCCGGGGCATTACATACATCACAACCAAACAGCAGCAATTGGTTAAATTAAAAAAGTACCTGCCTACCATCGAGAGAACGAATCCTAATGCTCCGAGGTCAGACGGTTTCCACCAAGTTAAACCGGCTGATGAATCAAGCTAGTGTGTTAGTTCTTGGAATGAAGATAGTAAGTACTCAGAGGCTCTAGTGGAAATAATTTGTGTCCTTAGGCAAGACACTTCATCCACCTTGCTTAGTATGAATGTGGTGTGTGGGTATTGGTGGTTGGAGAGACAGATGACACAGATTGGCAGCCTCGCTTCTGTCAGTCTACCCCCAGGGCAGCTGTGACTACAGTAACAGTTCGCGGTCAGCAGCGGAGTAAATGAATGAGGCTTATTTGAGACTCCAAAAAAGTCCAGATGCTTTTTTTTTTCTTTTTTTCAAATTTGAGATGTGGTTTTGCATAATTTATTTAGCGGTATTTGCTTTTCTCACCAGAATAGTGGGACAGCATTGTAAAAATCTCAGTTAGACAAAGCTTAAAATCCATCTAGTAACTGAGAAATAAAGGCCCATTCACAAATACTACCCAAACTCATAATCATACAGCAATTGTCTTATTAGCTTATAATCCAAACACTATTTAGTTACCATAAAATATAATAAGTTGCAAAGAATAAAGCAGTTATGTTCTGAAAATGCCTTAAAATCAGAAGTGAGAGTATCTACTGCTCTGACATTTCCTCTGTGCCCTCTGAGCTCAGGAAGTCCTTTATGGAAGTACATTTCCTCATAAGGTCTACTTTTCACTGTGGAGCGTTTCCTGCTTTTGTCAGGAGGAATCCCTGAGCAGCAGACAAATATTTCTGCGACAAATAGCCCATGATATGATTCACTTTACTTACTTTACTTTACCATATTTGTATTGAGATAATTTATTTAATAGCAAATAAAAAGAAACACAACACTGGTAATTCTGTTTTATTTGCTGTGTATTATAATGACACACACTGTAGCAGTTGAATCCACAAACCCATTTCAGTACACGTGTCATAAATATCTTGAAACAAACAAGCAAAAAAAAAAAGTCATATTGCACTATTTTCTGATCATTATAATGTTTCTTCATCAAAATCATTCCTGGTGTTGTGTTTTGTTTCATTCACACATGTTTAACACACAAACCCTGCATATTTAGTTCTTCTCTCAAACAGAAAACACTCAGTTCCACCTCGTGATGTCATGTAGTAATACAGGAAGTGCTCCACTGTGTTTTTAAACTCCATACACCTTCACTAGAGTCATCTATATGTTTTCAATCCTGGAGTTGCCTATCTCTTGTAGCTTGTGACTTAAAAACTACAACTACATGACATCAGAAGGTGGAACAGAGTGTTTTGAGCTTTGCGGATGCGGAGATCCAACAATCCAGGATTACTCATATATGTGTGAATGAAACAAAACACAACTCCAGGTATGAATTTCATGAGGTAACATTATAACATAGCTAAAAGGTCACAAGAATCAATTTTCCTATAATAGGAGACCTTTAATAATAATTCAAATGTAGCCCTTTATATTTTGTGTATTGAAAAAGTGAACCAGGAGTGATAAAAGTGATTAAAGTATGTGTATTAACTGTACTTACATATTGTGGCCAGTTTGTTTTGTTTGTGACTAGAAACTTATCACAACAAGAGTGCAGTACCTGAATTTGCATACATATTCCTATATCATCATACTGAAAAAGGAAGCACTTTAGTTTATTACACTATCCATTATAGTGTAGGTAGATACGGAAGCCCTGAGAGGCAAGAGAGAGAGAGAGAGAAAAAGAGGCAGGTCATTTGGGCTCTATTTTCTAAGTGTTTTTTTTTTTTCTCACCAACTCAAAAAAAAAAAAAAAAAAATCTTTTTTTTTTCTGAAAAACAAACAAAAAACAAACAAACAAACAAAAACAAATTTCCACAAAAAAAAAATTATTTCTACAATTTATTTATTTATTTTTTTTGCCACCGTTGATGTGGCTGATGAAGAAATATACAGTATATAACTGTAAATGCCAAACCTCTGTGCCAGCGAACCAGTGGAAGAATAGCTCATGGTGTTAGGCTCCGCGTTAGGATGTGGTTACGTGTGTATTCGTTCTCCCTCACTACTGTTCCAGGCTGGAAGACAGAACGCTGCACTATGTGGATATTTATGTTATTACAGCATTCACGAGCGACTTTTGGCGCTGTGCGTAAAACTGCTCCTGTCCAACACAGGAGTAGGACACTCCAAGCAAACATGCTTGGCAAGAGGAGCTCATGGGGATTTGGGGACAAACATGCGGCATATACTTTCATCCAGCATCAGCACCAGGGGTGTAGTGGGCGTGGTACGCAGGGTACGCCGTCCACCCACTTCTCCCGACGTGAGATTTAAAAAATAACAAATATAAAATAGCAACAACTTAAATGTCAAACTGGAGCCATTGGCAACGGTGAAAACAACCTGCAATAGGCTCATGATATCTACAGTACTGTCCTACAGTGACCTGAGACATGAGGGGACAAGGACTGAACCAGGACTAAACCAGGGGCACTTTGAGTGCCACTCCACGAGGAAAACATGAGCAAAGACAAAAAAAACAAGTTATCTACCTCAAAACTCAAACGCTGACCCCTTTACTCAATAGTGCACCCCTTTGCAACATAAACTAAACAGCAGCATATCAACAAAGTACAACAGCGCAACTAAAGTTGCATTGAGCTTATTTCTCATATTAGTCATAAAAGAGAACTCAAAAGTAAAACTCATGAAAAGAATGTATTCATCAAGAATGAATATGCACCTAAACAGGAACAGGTGAGTTTTGAAGCCCGGCCTCCCACATCCTAACCCAGAGCCCAGAGCCTCTTCCACTGGTTCGCCGGCACTGAAGTTTGGTATTTACAGGAATATACTGGAGAAACACTTAGGCTCTGACCTGCCTCTTTTTCTTCCTCTCTTGCCTCTCAGTGCTTCCGTAGATAGAAATAGCATGATGACTGTAAGCCTCATTATGTGCTTACATGAAAGTTACTCAGGAAAAGAGGAAGTGATGTTTCAAGATTTCTAGTAATGATATGGAAACAGAAGCAAAGTTTAACAGCATATACTATAATAGCAAAAGTACTGTTTAATGATTAGCTGCAGGAGCTGGGGTTTAATAGTGAGAATTCAGATCAGAGAGAGTCCTTTTAGCTTTAAACCAACTGGATTTCATCATTGAAACTATCAACCCAATGGTGAGACTCATTAAAGGCTCATTCTTCTTACTGATTGGATAACTGTCTTGAGAACCAAAACACCAAATTATAGCATTTATACCTCGGCCATCACGTTCACTAAGAATGAATCAACATTACAATTGTTATCAGTAAAAGCTATATTTGATTTGATTTGAACATGCCATTCATGCATGGGGCACAATTAGGTCATGTTTATGGAATTTAAAATGAAAATCTTACATACAGTTCCTTTAAAGGTTACACAAAACTGACTCTTGTGAGCTTTAAACCATGATATAATGCTGTTACCTCCTCAGAAACACATTTGGAGTTGTATTTTATTTCATTCACACATGTGTGAGTAACCCTTTATTATTAGTCTGTCTCCAAAGCTCAAAATGTGTACTTTTATCACGATAAACAATATTTTTGTTTATTATCCCATCTACAGATCATGGAAAGTGTGACTGTGGATTCTGCCAGTGTGACGCAGGCTGGAAGGGGGAGAACTGTAACTGCACCACACGCACAGACACCTGCATGTCCCACATCGGGCTCCTGTGTAGCGGGCGGGGCAACTGTGAGTGTGGTGTGTGTCAATGCACCCAGCCTGGAGCGTACGGAGCCACATGTGAGAAGTGCCCTACCTGCCCCGACTCCTGCACCATCAAACAGTAAGGAGGAACTGATACCAAAGCTTCTGTATTAAGCAAAGTTAACTTATGTGAGTGTTAGAGTGTTTTAATTCATTTGTCTACTGTTCCTAATCTTTTAATAATGTTGTTTCCTCATCAAAAATATACCTGGAGTTGTGTTTTGTTTTATTTACACATGTTTGAGTGATCCTTTATTATTAGTCTGTCTACACCTCCAAAACTCAAAATGCTCTGTAGCCCCTTGTGATGTCAGGAAGCAGTAGTTTACAAGTTTTCAGCAGCTAACTTTTACCTTTAGTACAGTATAGTTTGGTGCTTCCAGGTCTGAAATCATCCAAATGATTCTACTGAAGGTGTATGGAGTTTAAAAAGACAGTGGAGCAGTGCCACACTACATCACAACATGCAATAGTATTTTCTGTTTGAGAAACATAACAAGGTGTGTTTTGATGAAGAAACAACATTATTAAAAGATTAGGAACGATGAATGAATTAAAAGACCATATACACAGATTTGTAGCATTTGTAGTTCCACAGAAAAATATTAGAAAAATAATGTAATAAAATATAACTTACCAATTTATGACTGACTTATTCACCTTTAAAAGTAAGGAGGAACAGGTCAAAATTAGTACAATTCTTGGTAAACAAAAGACAACCCCTGTGCAGCGATTCATTAACTTAAAAAGTATAAGGAAACATCATCTTCACGTCACAAAAGTTAAAAATTATAAAATGTAATTCCTATATCTCCCAACCAACTAATACAAGATTTTCCTACTCCCTACTTTATATTCAAGAGTCATTGCAAATAAGTCAGAAACTTTCTTCTTTTACCTAAGTATAAATTGAATTGCTGGTGTTAACAAGGTTTGCGTACTGCATTGTCAAGGAAACAGTTGTTAGTCACAGCTTTAAAAATAGATTGTATTAACACCTACATAGTTTGCGCTTATAAACAAGTTAGAAATGTTCAAACAGGAAATGGAAAAAAGTGAGTGAGATTCTTAAACTAACTTCACTGCCAGAATCAATAAGTAAAATGTCCCCTGACCTATAATAATTTTTTTTTTTAATTATTATTATTATTATTTTCCATAGGCAGTGTGTGGAGTGTCAGCATTTCAAGAGAGGACAGTACATCGAAGATAACAGCTGCAACCGGATCTGCAGAGATGAAATTAAAGTTGTGGACAATTTAGGTGAAGCGATTGGAGTAGGTAAGTTATAAACCCAATATACAGTATATTCATTGAACCTCATTCATATGTCTGTAAGGGTGCAGGTACACTTGCCCTGGCTTTGTCCCAGCTTAGTCCTGATGTAGACTTGGTTTGGGTTTGTTCCAATCCTACTTTAATCCTGTTGTGGGTTTAGTAACAATTGTGTGTGTGTGTGTGTGTGTGTACAAATCTGAATGGACTGTTAAAATCTAAAATCTGAAACAGACTGTATATATAAATGGACATAACTAACCTGATAGTCACCGCATTCCACATACAAAGTGAGCATGGGGGCGCTTCCGGCTTCATCGACTCTGGCTCCAGTTCACTTTGTATTGAGAAAATGTTGCCCCTCTCTCTGTAACTGCTGCTGTCATGCTCCTCATTTTGATCTTAACTCTTTCCCCCTTGGACGCCGACAAGGAGCAACCCACACATAAATGACCAGGGCTAAACATAGAGCATCACTGCATAAAAGAAAACAGACTTCCACAAGTGATTATAATCCGTGTGTCATTCATTCATTCGTTTTTAATATAAAACCAAAAATAAGAAAATGAAAAAACAACGATTTTCTTCATTATTTGTCTCCAAAACCAAAAATGAAAAAAAAAAAAAAAAACAGATAATGATTCTTTTTTTTCAGTTTTTGATTTTGTGTTTAAAAGAAAAATGGAAAAAAAACGGATAACGGCCCGTTTACGTGACTTAAACTGCGATGCTGGACTCAACCAGGACCAAGACTGAGATCAGAACTGAGACCGGGACCAGACCAAGACTGAGACCAGACGGGGACCAGACCGGAAGCTCAGAGCCCAGGGCAGGGCCAGAGTTCGAAGCTGAGGCTTGGACCCTGCGGAGGCTCGGAGTCAAAGCTCGGAGTCTGCTCTGGTTCTGCTCTGGTCCCGGACTAGTCCCGGTGTAGTTCTGGACCTGGATCAGTCCTGGTTCAGTCTGTATTTGGTGCAAAAGTCCGACATCACTGTCAATGAAGTCACGTAAACGGGAAACGGTCATTATACATTTTTTCCATTTTTCATTTAAGCACAAAATCGAAAACTGAAAAAAAAACAAAAAACATATCATTATCCGTTTTTTCATTTTGGTTTTAGAGACAAATAATGAAAAAAACAGTTTTTTCATTTTCTTATTTTTGGTTTTATATTGAAAAACGAATGAACGAATGACACGGATTATTAAGGAAACACGGAGGGTCGTCAAATGTCGTTTTCATGGGGGAAAGAGTTAAAATGTTCATATTAACTCGCTCTACGTGATCCTGGTGCTTTTATTTTTATATTTTGTCCGTAAATGAATTCTTATTCCTAATATGGAACTCCAAATTTGCTCCTATAACTGCTCATCTCAGTGAGCTTCATTTGACTGGAGCCAAACACTATAGGTGACATCACATAGTCCACTTCTTTACACAGTCTATGATGTGACCTAATTGCGTATACAGACAACAGCGTATGTATGTTGTAATATTTTTGCTTGCCTGTTTTTCAGTTTCTCAGGACAGTAACGCGGTGAACTGCTCGTACAAAGATGAAAATGACTGCGTGCAGCACTTCCAGTACTACGAAGACGAAAGTGGCAAATCCATTCTATACGTGGTCAAAGAGCCAGGTATGGGCTCAACCATCTCCAAGTATCTGTACTGAAGTAGTGCCAGCTATAAGAACAATGGTTGTAGTAGCACTAAGAGCTGTAGTAATTCAAGTGATAAGTTGTAGTATTACAGTTGTAGGTCAAAGTTAGCAGCGGTTAGGTCATAGTGGTTATGATAATAGTAATAATAATATTAGTAATCATGGTGGTAGTAAGCACTTTGTGTGGGTAATGAGCAATGGTCTATTTCATTCTGTTAATTAAAGTACAGATACCGGAGCAAAAAAATACTCAAGTAAAAGAAAAAGTACCACATGAAAAAATTTACTTAAAAGTATTAGAGTACCCATTTAAAGACTGTAAAAGTAAAAGTATATCGTGCAGATTTTGAGGTCTTATAAGGCTTCAAATGTAGTGGTTTTGATACAGATTTCTGTTGAGTTTTGTTCAGCAGAAACAATTGAATTGATCATTTCTATTTCCTAGCTGTTTTTATTTGCATATTTTTATTTGCTCAAATTATGAATGTGAATAAACCTCAGCCTTTTCAGCAGGTCTCAGACTATAAAAATATTTACTTTTCAGTCAAGTTCATAAATACCTGCTCTCAAATATAGTAAAGTAAAAGTAAAAAGTATCCACTTTAAAATCTATTAAGTAAAGTACAGATATCTAAATGTATACTGAAGTACAGTACTTTACTACTTTTACTTCATTACGTTCCACCACTGGTAATTAATTTCAATGAGATGGTAATAGTTACAATCTTTGTGGGTTACTAATAATTTCTTCCTAAAGAAACTCTGAATTCTGCTCCAAACCACATATTTTTCCTGACACACGATTGGCTGTAGACCTCTTGATTAAAAAGACCCAAGCTGTAAAAGTATGTAAGGTACTTCAGTATTAGGATGTGGTGTTCTTTTGTGTTTTTAAGAGAACATTGTGTGCTCCTTTCTGTTGTAAACCTGTCACTGACTTCAGCTGCATGCACACTCACAATCTGATCATTATCATATTTCGGCAGTTAAAGGACTATCAAAATCATGTGTAAACACTAAAATCAACTGACTATGATTCCTCTGATTACTCAAATCAGATTTTGTGATTTGGATGTCATTTGAGTAATTTTGAAGGTCTAGAAATCAGATAACAATCAGATTTGGGTATGTTTGGTATGCATGTAACCGCAACAACTGTTTAAGGTCCTAATATATTACATAAAACTGACTCTTATGAGCTTTAAGCCATGTTATAATGTTTCCTCCTTAAAAACATACCTGGACTTGTATTTTGTTTCATTCATATGGTTGAATAATCCTTAAAATGCTCTGCTCCACCTTGTGATGTCATGAAGCAGTAGTTTTCAAGATGCTACCTTTTCATTTTAGTTCAGTCGAGATTGACAATTCCAAGACTGAAATTACCCAAATGATTGTAGTGAAGGTGTGCATTACATTACCTGCATTACCACATGACATCACAAAGTGTTTTCTGTTTGAGAGAAGAACTCAGCCTAAAAATGCAGAGTTTGTGTGTTAAACATGTGAATGAAACAAAACATAACTCCAGGTGCGTTTGTGATGAGGAAACAGCATTATAACAGGGATCAGAAAATGGCGTAATACAGGCCCTTTAAGTTAACCACACTATCTCTTCTCTCTGTCCCTCTCTTCCTCCTCAGTTTGTCCGGAGGGCCCTGATACATTGGTGGTGTCTTTGGCTGTAGCTGGGGCCATTCTGCTGCTGGGGCTCATTGGACTCCTTATTTGGAAACTTCTGATCACCATCCACGACCGGCGCGAGTATGCAAAGTTTGAGGAGGAAAAGGCCAAAGCTAAATGGGACACGGTAAGGACTGTGACTAATGCTATAACATGTAGAAAAATATTTGTTCACACAGTCACTTAAATTTGTTGTTTTGGGAAATACATGGGAACCAGGTTATTTTAAGGGCTTTTTAAATGTTCTGTATTACACAAAATTTACTCTCGTGAGTTTTAAGTTTTTCATGTTATAATGCTATTACCTCATCAGAAACACACCTGTTGTGTTTGATTTCATTCACTCGTGTTTCAGTAACCCTTTATTATTAAGACCTGTTCATACTTCATAAGAACATAATAACTTTGTCCTTGAGGTGATAAGAACAAGAACAAAGTTCGTTTGGGCTTTGACATTTCATACTTCAAAAGATGTTCTGCTGCCGAACTGCCCCGCCCTCCTTCTATTTGTCCACCAGCCTGTCCGTTCTTTTTTTGGTGATCTGCCATTTGGCTTTCGCAGACTTATCACAGAGATTACACTATTCTTTTCTACACTATAGTCTTTATAGTCATTGAGCGTTGTGTCGTATAGATGTTTATATTTTCTCACCATTTCTGCCAGCTGTGACTCAAAACTATCCAATTTTTTTCTTGCTCTGCACTGGCAAGGAAGCAGATAAACCATGCCCACGTAAATAACCAATCCGAGCAAAGATGTCGCACAGTGCTGCCGAACTGCTGAACAAAGTTCTGCTCGGCTAAGGTGTCGAGAACAAGTCACAAGAACTCCCGAACAGGAGCTGGACGAACAAAATGATGTCATTTTGTTCGGCCAACCCTGGGTGCAAGAACAAAGTTCTTATGTTCTTATGAAGTATGAATAGTCCTTAAGTCTGTCTCCTAAGGTCACAATGCTCTGTCCCACCTTATGATGTCATGACGCTGTAGTTTTACAGTTAACGACTACCTTCTAGTGAAGGTGTATGAAGTTTAAAAACACAATGGAGTGTTACCACATGACAACACAAGGTGGAACAGAGTGTTTTCTGTTTGAGAGAAGAAATCACCACCAGTCTCTCACACACTGGTGGTGGATGGAGGGGCCAATGGACCACATAGACAAGGTGGCCGAAATGTCTTGCCTAAAGACACAACAACCTATTTTAAACTTAATACATAAACTGGAATCTCAAGTGGAAAGATTTGTTATGAAAGTGGCCTTGTGAGTTAAAATAGGTAGTAGTAATTTAACTGCTCGTGCTTTGCATCCTGTTTTGGTCCTTATTAATGCATTCTTTTCTACTGTACTGTGTGAAAACTAATTGTTGGTACTTCTTGACTGTCTGATAATATGTAAATGAAGGTACAATTTGAACACTAATGAACTTAAATGCTGTCTTTATGCTTCGTTTTGCAGGCTCACAACCCCTTATATAAAGGAGCCACTTCCACCTTCACAAATGTAGCGTACCGAGGCAATTAAGACATTTTGTGCAGTGAAATCTCAGGGGTCAAGACTCGATGGATGTAAAAACAGAAAACACGTGGGAAGAGGATGTCATGTGACTACTGGAGCTGAACTGTAGAAGAAATGTATATGTGTTTGTGTTAATTGTACATTTTGTAAAAAGAAATGTTCAAGGCACAATATGTGACATCTCGGTTGGGGGTCCATCGCCTGCTTGGATATGTCATTGCTCTGCCCAGAATATTCCACAGTATGACATAAAAGAGTACTACTTTACATTTATTATATTATAGGTGGTTTTATTGTTCAAAAATACATAGAAAATCAGGTATTCTCACTGTGAGTGGGGTTGTCTCTCCATAGATCTGACCTATAATTTAGCCTGCTTTGGTCTCCATGAAGATAGAAAGGTTTAATATCGTACTGTGAAACATTCCAGACAAAGCAATAAAAGCATATGGTGGACGCTCCATCAGAAAAGTACAATGTAGCTTTAAAATGCCAACAACTGCTGTTCACAATGTGCACTCTTATTGGAGTTTAACAGTGCTTTAGTTTACAAAGAGGGTGTAAAGACATTCAAGACTATTTGAAAGTTTTCTATCAATGCTTTATATGCTAGTTTGTTATATTTCTTTTGAATCATTATGAGTGTTTGGCCTTTTCCAATGTATACAGTCACTGGAGACAGGTTGTTGTTAAGTGCCTTGCCCAATGACGCAACAGTAGTAAGCACTGGTGGGAGATGGAAGCAAACCTCTAACCATAATTCTGCTAAAATGTACAGTCTGTAGGCGTGGATTGGTGGATTGGTAAAATACCCCCTGTACATGTGGGTGTATAGTTGACTGTCTCTTTCCACCGTCTTTTTTCCAAAATGGATAAAAGTTTTAGATGTAAATTAATTTTAGTTCTGTTCACTTTATTTTGGAAGTTGCCGCGTCCGTGCGTCACTCGGGTTGTATTATTTTACATTGTTGGTGCACATGAACATTGAATATTTTACACAAATCAACCTACTCTATGTCATATTTTAGCTGCAAAACGTTTCCCAAAATTCTCCAACTCTGAAATGAATGTGATCCTGTTTAATCTCTAGTGCCACCACAAGGTGTTGGAGCATTTAGAGACAAAAGTGGGTGGGTCCGTTTAAGGTGAATAACAACAGTTTACACAGACAGTCTGTAAAGAACTGTGAAAAAGCTGATCAAATCTAAGACAAATCCAACTGTTGCAATAATATTTAAGCCTATATGCAGTGTTGAGAAGTAACTAAATACATGTATCAAAAATATTTCTCTCACACTTATTTTGAGTCAACTGTTTCCAGTACAGTTACTCTTTCATTTGGTGGTATTCAGAATAGAATTAAAATTAAAACTCAATGCAATCTAGGCTTCGATCTGCACAGTATTAGTAAGGGGAAAAAAGTACATTGCTCTAATGGTGAGTGGGTGAAGCATTTGCATATTTTTCTTCTCTAATTAGTGATAAATGCACAGAAAACAGTGAAACAAACACAAAGTTGTTTTAAACCTATGTTGTGTTTTTAAAGTGAAAGAAGTCTATGCATTTAGAATTCAGCATTCTGATTGGACCATTTTTATGCAAGTTTTCAGTATTCTGTAACTGAATACATTTTACAAAGAGATTATAACTTATTTTGTCAGACAGTAACGCGATGTTGCACTGTTTAGTTTTCATTGCACAAGAAACATCAAGTACAAACCTGTAAATTATAAGGTTGCTGTTGTGTTAAGTTACTTCTTGGTATCAGGGGATGTTTTCCGTGCATTTGAGCTTCATGAAACTTTTCTCAGGATCTGACTCATTTCACCATCACAGCCTGTTTTGCACCATATGATAAGTGGAAAGAAGCTTGTACAAAGTAGGTTGTCAGTCAATTACTTCAAAGAATTGTGACGTTACCTTATGATGTCTATCGTGACCAACTAGGTGTTTGTGGTTGCTGTGTCCGCTTCACACTCTCATTTTCTTTGTCACTTCAAATAAAACAGTTTTTTTGCCATTTTATTGAAATGCCTGAAGCTATTATTGTATGTATTATTGTATATTTAGTAACCTGGCAGCAGGTAGGTCTACATTCACAGAGAAGGCAAAGGAAAGCAAAGAGGACAAGTTTCAAAGTTTTTCATTCTTGTGATCCTTTCTTTCTAGTAGTAATATGACAGCACTTTTTAACATGCACTGTTGGCACCGGATCACAATTTTTAAAAGAACCCAATATTTTTCCTTCAATTTTATATGTATTTTTACACTGGTTAACACTGAACCAACAAGAATCAGCACAGTAGCAGTGTAGGCAACACCAGTGAGAGATCTGTGCTCAAAACATTTATCTGGCAGCATAATAACAGTTAGTTACACTCCAACTCTCAGGTGGGACCCTTTTAAACAAATCTGAGCCTTGTTTTTTCTCTGTGATTAGCTTGTAGATAAAATTGAGTTTACACATTGGCTTCTGGCATATAAGTAAATGCAAAAAGAGCCAGTCGTTTGAACGGTTCTTTCAAGCAAATGCATCCAGAAGATCCGGATCCCATACAAGAGCTGATGTGCATACTACTTCCAAGTATGGACATCATCATTGCAAAATGTGTACAAACTTGTATGGTCCTGTTTATGTTTTCCTGAAAAGAAGCATGTTTATCTTTCCTGGAGACACATGACACATCTCACTGTTCTCTCAGCCTGACCACAACCACATCCTGTGTAGTCCAGAGTATATAACTGATAGCCTATAAGTTAACTTACTTTTTTATATAGACCTCAGTGGGGCACATTTATATACACTGGTAATATCACTTTTACATTTTAATCGATTTAAAGCTGGTGGGTAATTAGTCTGGTGTTGTCAGTTATTTTTGCTGCAAAGAGATTAAAATAAGGGTAGAATTAAATATTAGGACGCTAGAATGGAAAGTGCTATCCTGACTCTAATGAAATGTCGCCCTCTAGAGGACATATGCTTCGTCTTCAACTCGAGCCTACATAAAAGAGTGTGTTTCTTATTCGTATTCTGTGTTAGCAGTTAACTTGTAGAGGATTGCCTGTGTTCTTTTTATATTTCCAAGTATTTAAAATTTTGTTTCTGACATAGCAAAGTAGCAAACAAGCCCACTGCTTAAACATATTGTACATATTAACCCAAACATGTTCAGATACCTCGGGACATTAAAAAAAAAAAGAAAAAAAAACTAAACAAAAACAAAAAAACAAACAAAAACAACAACAACAACAAAACATACTACTACTACCACCACTACTACTACTACTGATAATGATAATAATAATAATGATGATAATAATAATTATAACAACAACAGCAACAGCAACCATAATAATAATAATAATAATAATAATAATAATAATAATAATAATAATAATAATAATAATAATAATAATAATAATAATAATAATCTTTTCGTATTCTATTTATTTTATTATTTTTACTATGTCACATGAACACACCACGCCTTCTTCTTCCGCTGCGTCAGATCCATCATGGCGGCGCCCCATGCCGTGGACGGAGTGGAGCTAGGGACCGGGGAAACTCAGCTAATTCTTCCCGATTCTGGCTCTGATGAAGGGAAAAGACCACAATTTGGGACCCGCTTTCTCACGGACCCACGACAGGTTTTTCAACATAACGCGTGGTACGTAAAATACATTAAAGAAATGCCCTAACATTACATCTGTTTTGATTTCATTCTCCAATTAAGTGATGTAATGTTAGTTTATGAGTCTCTGTGCTCCCATGCTTCAAACAGGAATGTGAGGTGTATTGCTCGTCTTCAGATCTTTTACTTCTGGCCTATAAGTGTAATCTTTGACCTTTTATTCTGACTTGTGCGTTGTCATCTCCATGAGACAATAGTAAAGCGTTTTAGTAAGCTTCTAGAATAGAGTACATTAGTGGCTCTCAAAGTTTTCACCCCAATCAAGTAAAACCCAACAGAAGATTTGGCTTTCCAAGTGCCACAAATGCAACAGATCTAAACCAGGACTTAAGGATACATATTATTGCCTGAAAACTACAGAAAACAACACAATGTCATACTCTTTGACATAACTGAATGAATATTATTGACCTGACCACTATTGAAAATCTCTGATGTTGGACAGGGACAATGTGGAGTGGACCGAGGAGCAAGAAAGTGCAGCAAAGAAGAAAGTCCTGGAGAATAGCCAGCCCCTGCCTGCTGAAAAACAAGGTGATCTTTATGTATAAATATTTTTTATATCTAATATTTTAAAAAATCATAGATTTTGTTTGTTGCATGATCTAAAGTGATGCACAGTTTACATATCCAGTAGACAATTTATATATTAAGTAGATAACATTAAACAAGTACAGAGATGTTTAAACGTGTGAGTAATGTTCAGGGTTCCCATGGCCATGGAAATCCTGGAAAAGTCACGGAAATTGAAAATGTTATTTTCCAGGCCTGGAAAAGTCATGGAATTTTAGTATCTCTTTCACACAACTACATTGTTCTGTTATCATTAGGCTATTATGATTATTTCCAAACATACGCACTTCTTGTTTTAAAAAAGATGACAATAAATGCAGTAACAGTATTTTGAATGTTAAAAAGCTATAATACCAAACCATAAGGTGAGTGGAAAGGGTTAACAGTTCATATTTAACCCTAAAACTCTGCTCAATTCTACACATGTACGGTGCCGTAAAGTAATGAAAAATTCACTTTAGATCATGAAAAAGTCATGAAAAAGTCATGGACTGGTTTTGAAAAAGAGAGGGAATCCTGAATGTTGACATACAGTATATAGTAAATAAGATCTCTTGTATTTTGTTCCACACAGAGGAGTTTGACACAAAGGCAAATGAGTTCTGGAATGAATTTTACACCATCCATGAAAACCGGTTCTTCAAAGACAGACACTGGCTCTTCACAGAGTTCCCTGAGCTCGCCCCTCAGTCCTGCCCCAGACCAGAGTCACTCACACAAGAGTCTAACACAGAGGATATACAGCAGAGCAGTCCAACTACAGGGCCGTGTAGTGAAGTGGAGGCTCTTACTCTTAATGATGAAAGCTTCCCAGGAGCCAGTGCAACATATAGAATACTAGAGGTGAGTTAATGCATGATTAAATGCGCAGTATATAACTTTTGTTTTGAAGTTCAAGTAAGATCAAGTAACTCTCTCTCTCTCTCTCTCTCTCTCTCTCTCTCTCTCTCTCTCTCTCTCTCTCTCTCTCTCTCTCTCTCTCTCTCTCTCTCTCTCTCTCTCTCTCTCTCTCTCTCTCTCTCTCTCTCTCATATATTCACTGTTATGATTATTTAAAGTGGGCAAATGAGAAGTTGAGTAATGAATATTTAAAGACTTGATTATAAATGTTGTATTGTATTATATTAAAATAACACATTTATTTGATTTCCAGGTTGGCTGTGGAGTTGGCAACACAGTTTTCCCAATACTGAAGACCAACAAGTGAGTGCAGCTAAAATACATGCATTATAACCAGATTATTTTTTAATTTCTTTACTGACAGATAAATCAAACATTTTTCTGACTTTTCAGTGACCCTGGTCTGTTTGTTTACTGTTGTGACTTCTCCAGCACTGCAGTCGAGTTAGTGAAGGTAAGCGTTTTTCTAAGAAATCATGATTACAGTTAGCCTTATTTGTAGTTTTAAGAATATTAGAAGTATGATTGAAGGCAACAATATTTAGGGAAATCAGGGAAATCTAAATAATCAAATCTAGTAAACATGCTTTATGGTGTCGACATTCGACATAGACTGTATTGATACAGTGAGCATCATGCTGGGGATGTGCTACATGCATCTCTAGAATATTAATGACATCAGCTGCAAAGTATCAATAAAGATATAAACGGTCTATGGGTGCCAATAATAATAATCATAATTAATAACAAATTTGACATTGTAAAATTCTTTGATCTTGTCAAATCTGAACTCTACGAACCACTAATGATTTGACACTGTCTCCTTGTCATCAGACTAATCCGGAGTATGACCCTGGGCGCTGCTTTGCCTTTGTTCATGATCTGAGTGATGTGGAAGCCAATTACCCCATCCCCGACGGGACCCTGGATGTTCTGGTCCTGATCTTTGTACTATCTGCGCTGCATCCCAAAAAGTAAGCACTCTGTTTGATTCTCACTTACTTTGATTTCTAGGGAGTATAAGTTCATAAAGGGCATTTTCAACCTATTTACATCAAATGCCATCGGAGGGTTAGGGCTGAAAGTTGTACTACTAATGGGATAAGAACAAAATATGACTATTAAAGATAAAATAATTAAAAATATATATTTTATTTGTCCCACAGTGGTGACATTTCAATCTTGTCATACAAACTACATTGGTGCATGTCTAATACAGGGGATAAACAAGGCTTGATGTTAACAACAATAAATAAGACATTGGTAACAAAACTGGGAATTAATTTAAGGTTATAGCAAATACAAAGTTTTTTACTAAAGCCAGCACCTCTCTAGAAGACCTTTGCATAGTACCCATTAAACTACAAAAACAACACTATACAGAAAAAAAAAAAAAGCCTAAATTAAACCAGGAACTAATAACTAACCAGGGCTTGTAACAAAGGGTGCTTTCACAGTTGCACACACTACATCAGAGCCGGGCTAGAGCCGGGCTAGAGCCGGGCTAGAGCCGGGCTAGAGCCGGGCTAGAGCCGGGCTAGAGCCGGGCTAGAGCCGGGCTAGAGCCGGGCTAGAGCCGGGCTAGAGCCGGGCTAGAGCCGGTTCAATATCAGAACCTAACCAGGACAAGTGTTAATGCACCCTAGAGCCACCAAAGACCCCTGTGTACCACCAGTGGTTCCCTCAGTACAGCTCAGGCACCTGTGTGAGTACTTGTGTTTGTGTGTGTTTGTGTGTGTTAGGATGCAGGCCTCCATCAGTAGACTGGCTCGACTGTTGAAGCCTGGAGGGATGATGCTGCTCAGAGACTACGGACGCTATGACATGGCTCAACTACGGTTTAAGAAAGGTTTATGTTACTAATTACACTGTTTAAGTTAATGATTGTTGTCAAGGGGCACATCATGTTTTTCTATTAAAATTGCATTATGTAACCTTTTTGGTCAGTGGTGCGCTACCTGCTTCTCTCCATGGAGATGTTGTTTTGACTGGAATTTTCCACAGTAATGCCATAAAACTCTATCTCTTTTATTGCTTAAAAAAGTACATTGACAAACATTCATTCTGAGAGCGAGAATCTAACCTAACTTGATGTTGACATATTAAATCATGGTGTTTTATTACATTTCACTTAAACAATATTATTATGAAACTGATGGAGGACTGAAGTAGAACATCTTGGTTTACATTTATTACAATGGTATAAATACATTTAGTTCATTCAAGGAGGCCAAGGACCCCTATTGGTCCTCACAATTGTATCACAATAAAATTTACAAGTTCAAACCACGTTTATAACCACATTTGGTTGAAAGATGAGTGAATCTCTTTATATTTTTACTTAATTGGTGTTGTTGTTTCCATCAAAAAAACATTGTATGTTTGGGAATGTATATTGTAAGAAATTGTAGTATTCAAGTAGTGTTCCATGTTATCAAAATTTTGGGGGGACACCCAACACAAGGTCCAGGGACGCCCAGGGGTTCCCATACCCCACTTTGAGAACCACTGCAGTAAAGGGTTTATTTTTAGAAATATGCAATTTACCTGACCTTTGCCCTGTAAAAGTATGTTTTAGGGAAAAAATAAATTATCACCACAGCATTAACATGTTTTGATTTATTTTATTCTCAGGAAGGTGCCTTTCAGAAAACTTCTATGTCCGTGGTGACGGGACACGAGTTTACTTCTTTACTCAAGGTAAAAATCATACCTTAGTAGTTCTTTCTTATATTACCTTTTCACATTTGAATCATTGTGTTTGATATTTCAGATGAATTACATGAGTTATTCATGTCGGCTGGTTTAGAGAAAGTGCAGAACCTTGTGGACAGACGTCTTCAGGTGAACAGAGGGAAGCAGCTGACCATGTACCGAGTCTGGATCCAGTGCAAATACCGCAAAGGCCTTGAACGCACCACAGAAACGCTGAGCTGAAGGAAAAGGACCATAATCATTTATTTCTTTAAAGACCCCATAATCAAAGTGGTGCAGTATTGTTTGTTAATGGCACCATCTGAAACCAATTCAAGCGGATACGACTGCTTGATAGATTGGTTGTGTTCCCAGGTGGACTGTTAATATTGATGGACTTATGTTACGGCTTGTATGTTCGACAATAGAAGGTACCCTGTTTGAGGGAATTCTGGTTGATAATTAATATTTGACTAAATCCTGTTTTTTAATGTCTTAATTCTCTTCAAATAAACTTAATGAAGATTGTTTTTTTTAATTGATTCATAATTTAATGATCAAAATAGTACACTTGTAAGGCAGTTAGGTTTGTTTCTGTCTAAGCCTATGTAATTAATGTTTGTCAAATGAAGTGTTCTTTTTGCATATTTAATTATCGTAATCAAATTATGCAAATTTGAAAACAACACATAATTGGCCAGCTAAACTTTTCATTAATAACCACTGCGTGAAAAACATGAAAACACAGGGGAATTGCAACTTTCAGCGGGTGATCATGTCAGGCTGGATGGGTGGGCGGTATATAATTGTATTGTGTACACACAGATTTGCCATTGGTCCAGACTAGAGATTTGGTGCAGGCGTGGACCGAACGAAGGTGAAAATTCTTGAACACTCTCACGAGAAAATATGAGATTTTAGTGATTATTGTTTACATTGCAAAAACATGAGAACCGAACCGAATCGATCCGGACAACACTGACACAGTCTGGGCCAGCACAACTTCCGAAATACTTTGTTTTCTTCCTCACGTCTGGAAAAAGGGAGACAAGACGCAACTTTGTTTTGGTGGAGCTACAAAGCAAGAACCCGAAATTTCATCTCACCAGTGGGGAGAAAAAGATAGGGGCACCCAGCGCTCGCTTTGGGCATCATTTGCACCAGGTGGAAAAAGTCGTAATCTTTAGGGTCGTGCGCCATTGTGTGGAACGAGATACCCCGGCATTGTGTGCGTAATTGTCTTCGGGGAGATGGATATGATGGGTTTCCCCGCCTAGGTGGCACAGCAAAGCGGGTTCGGGATACCCAGAGTGGTCGAGGCCTCCGTCGGGAATCCTCCGGTGTCTACCTCCCCTGCACAGCGTCTTTCTCCGTCTGGACACTGAGCAATCAACACGCGGAGGACGGGGCTGTCTGCGCGGCCTGCAGCCAGGGAGGGTCTGTCCACGAAGCATCGGGGAACAACGGGGACGGCTTCAGGCGTAAGACCAGGCCCTCCCGTGGACCGAAACATAATAAAATCCAGTAAGTATGTCGCTGGGGTTGCGATCATACAACGGGACGTGCGTGTGTGTGGTGGCTGTGATTTTCTACGTGGCGCAAACCCGTCAACAATCGTGGAGATGCTTCTTTTTGACAGCCGCTAGCGTGCTAACATTAGCTACCATTTGTGTGCCTAACAAAAAAGACTTTAATCGTGTTGATTTGTGGATATTGTGTACATACATATCGCTTGAAGCCACCTCTGCAATAATCAGGAGTTGTTATATGTTTAGGTTGCGAATATTTTTTTAATTTTACCCCAAATTGCCTTGATGTGCTAAATCAAAAGTGTTAGCATCGCTATAGTTAGGCTAACAAGAGCTATGTGATTGGTAATGGCTTGCTCAATTTTAGACAGATTGTGAACGTGTTTGTAGTTTTAGTGATTTGTTTACTGTATTTATGCTTAAACAGATTACCTAAACCCAGTTACATTACAGTGTAGGTAAAGCTATACAAATGTTGTGTATAATGAGACAGATGCTGCATTTGACAGTAATTAAACGTGTAACACAAAGCTTACAGAGGTATCAGTTCGCCTATGGGTGTGTTTTTAAAGCTTTCACCTTTGTACAATGTTATATTTTTACATATTGTGTTTCTTCCTCAGCTCTGGAGTTGACATGGCACTCCTTTTCAATGGTGACCTTTCCATAGCTATCCATGTCCATGTTACTGGGCCTATAATGCCAGGGCGTTATCACATGATGCTGTATGATGTATCTGGACTATGTCTAATATGAATGTACTGCACACACTTGGCCTTCTTTGGCACTTTCATAGAAACCACTTTAGAGTTAACAGAGTTCTTCTGAAGTTGGTGAGATGAGACTAGTTAACACATAAAATAGTGCCAACATTATTGTTAGTTTTAATGATGAGTCAGAACAGGAATTTTCCACATCCATATAGCTAAAAACAGGCATGACTCATCACAATGGGTGCCTTTGAAAATGTGATCTGTCACTCCCTGTGGAACGTATCAGACGGCACAATGTGCTCCTTAATCGGGCTGCTGGATTAATTGAATGGATGCAATTAGCAAATCGCAAAGGCTGTAATTTTAGAAGTACTTTTGCAAACAACAAAATATCCTGTCTATTTCTGCATAAAAACTGCTAATCTTGATGTCGATCTGTACCAGTTAGGAGGGATGCACCAAAACCAATACTAGTATTGAATATCTTTGCTGATACTTAAAATGAGCTTGAACGGGTATCGGTTTTATAATCCTGGTGCAGCTGGTATCCTGATTGCGCCTTTCATTAGTGTATTTACTGGATGATTTTGGCATGGAACATCTCCCTAATGTTTGAAATTTTATTCCTACAAACCTGGTCAGTAGTTCTTTGAAGTATAAATAACAGTTGCATAACACAATTGGATCTCTTGTGTAATAAGTTGTTTTAAGGATATATGTACCAATTTCCATCCTTACTCTGGTATTGGTGAATATCAGGTTTCAGCAGATGCTTAAAATAAAAGTATTGATATCAATAGTGGGACTCGAAAGGCTGCATCACTACAAACAAGCTCTGAAATATGTAATTCTTGTATTAGTTTGTTGGTTCATTGGCCTCTTTCCGTCTTTTTGTCCATTCTTCTGCACGTGTTTGGAAGGACAGTGGCTCAGTAGTTTAATCACTCATCTACCAACCCATAGGTCTAAAGATTGATTCACACTTGGACCAAGTTGTTGTGTCCTTGGGCAAGACACTTTCCCTAGTATGACAGTGGTGTGTGCGTGAGCGTTGGGCCAATGATGGCACAGTTTGGCAGCCTCACTTCCGTTAGTCTACCCCAAGGCATCTATGGCTACAATAGTACAGCTCATCATGGATGTGGAAAGAATAATACAATTTAAAGTGCTTTGGGTAACTTGAAAGCAGAGTACATCAGTAATTAGCTGTAGAAGTTACTTTTTTAACCCTCTGCAACTCAGATCTTTTCATATTACAAAAAAATATATATAACAAAAACCTCCCCATTATTTATTCTACAGATGTTAAAGGTGCATGGTGCAGTTTTTCTGGTGGAGAGTCCTTCAAATGTTTTTCTTTGTGGAGATGTTATTGCTTTGTCTGGAATGTTGCAAATTATGATATAAAATCTTTCAGCATCATGGAGACCAAACCAAAGTTACAGGTCAGCTCTGTGGAGAGACAACCGTGCTCACAGTCAGAATACCTGTTTTCTAGGTATTCTTGCGTTTAATGTTTAAAAGTGGAACGTTCCAGGCAGAGCATTGACATATACATAGAAACAAGCAGGTGATGGACCCCCAACAAAAAAGTCACACTGTGCATCTTTAAATATTGAGCCCCAAAATATATTGTTAGAGCTTTCATATATTCAACAATAAAGTAAGTTGAAGTAAGTCATAATCATCACAGGCCTAATCGCAGTGCTTCTTAAAAAGATCACAATAATCGGATATTGTTTCCAAATCGCTCCCAAATCCCAACTCAATTCCTTAATCTGTGTGTTGTCTTTGCAGCCATGATGGAAGAACTGCACAGCCTGGACCCCCGCAGACAGGAGCTGCTGGAGGCGCGCTTCACTGGGGTCGGCGTCGCTAAGGTTTGTGTTAGAGCAGATGTTGTGGAGGTGGAGCTGCGTGAACTCATGTCAAAGTGCTTGTAATCACAGGTTTTCCTCATCACACTGTTCGTGAATAGGCCTGTCAAGATAACACATTTGTGAGTGATTGATTGCTTTTATCTGGAACATGATAGAACACATTATAAATAACAAAACATGATTTGACAATTTTTTAAAAAGCTACATGTAATACAGGAATAAATAGTTTGTCAAAAAGGATATGGAAGAAGTTAAATCTTATTTAATCCTACCCCCAACACATTTTCATGTATATTAGAATACAATCTGGCCTGACTGTTATAATATTACTATTATTTGATACAATGCATATACTCATGTGTATTGTACTTGTATCGAAACGAAACACACATTTTGAGAAGGTATCGATGCTAAAAAGTCACATTCACAGAACAGAAATTAGTATCTTTAGAATGATCTTGAGCTGTATCAGAACAAGTATAAGGGCACATAGACTAGTATACACCCGTGGACCAATATGGACTATACCATACATTTGAAATTGTAGTATCGTAACACTAGTACAGAGTTCAACAAACTAGTTACTGTGTAATTGCATACCTCTATTACCCAGTGATATTTTTCGTCCCTGCACTGAGTAAAGGCAGTAGTTATACAATAACACTGAAACTAATTCATGTCACCCTAAAACACAATTATGTCTTCTAAATGTACAGAATAATTAAAAAAACATGATCTTCAATAAATAAATAGCAAAATGAAATACTGTAGGAGTTAGTTTTTATCTATAATTAATTTAAGCAGTTATTTATTGAACCTTTTACAGCTCAATTCATATTGTACCACAGAAAAATAATATACATATTTATTTTTTTATATTTTCTTTAATCTTCACTTCTGAAACTTAGACTCACTGAACACCTTCAGAAAACTACTAAAAACTCACCTTTTCCTCACAGCTTATAACATGACTGCTTCCTCACTACTTGTTATGTTTGTCCTGTCCTTGTTTTGTGTCAAACTATTGTGAAGTGTCTTTGAGTTACTGTGAAAAGCGCTATTTAAAAGTGATGTAGTATTATTATTACATTATTTATTCAACCTTCTACGTCTCAACCCTTATCTTACCACCAAAAATAACAAAATGTTCCCCACTAGTACATAAAAGTACCTACAGTAAATATAGACCTAAAATGTAATGCCTCATCTATCATTTGTTGAACGATATAAGTGGATGTAGAGATTATTGTGGCATATTTGTGAATCGATCCCGCTTCTGCCCCATTTTTCCACAGTTTAATTTCCCTTTGACTGATCTGGTCTCTCTGGCCTCTTTGTGTCTCTGGAGGAGGTTGAGCAGTGTCTGTGTTTTTTGGCTGGTGAGATGTGGCGTCTCTCCATGGCTCATGATGTAGTGGCTGTATATGCAGCAGTGATGGCTGCCAACAAGGCCACAGACGGGACAGGGGTGGTGAGAGGAAGAGGAGGAAGAGGAGGAAGAGGAGGAGAAGGAGGAGGAGGGGGGGAGGAATGCAGAAATAGTTATTGACCAGGTGTGAGTGGGGGCAGCGTTCAGCCTTGTACCTCACATTTGGTACATTGGTGGCCATGGCTGCAACGGCTGGTAATATACATATAAAATATTCATAGTCCTATTTTGACCATCTTTATCTTCACTATACTGACTCTAATGTGAAATATACATATGGAAATACCCTTTTTTTTATAACAAAGAGTGGCATTATTAAATCAAAATGAAACAAAAACAGAATAAAAAATGACTGATGAAGTTAACCTTTACAATCTTCACAACCTTCACAATGGGGAATTCTAGTGTTGCTACATACAAGATCAGTAAAAGAATAGAAATAGGCATTTAAAAATCAAGATAAATAACTATTAGAAGATACAGTTACATTTAAATTGAACTCAACACTATGCATCACTAATGTACTTTATTCATACATATATATATACATATTCTCTTTTTAAAGGTAAGGTACATTTTATTGTCCCCATAGAGAAATTCATCATTTGCATTTGACCCATTTTTCCATGCCGCTGGGACACCTCTTCAGGAGCAGTGGGACCCGTCTCCAGATCTTGAGCTAGTCTTGGTCTGGACTATTTGATTAGCTGGAGGATTTTACCTATTGTGCATGTTTTGTGTTGATGGGGGAAACCGGAGAATCCATCTGTCAGCATAATTTCAACCTGTATTTCGTTAAACGTGTATTTCAAAAAATGTTCAAAGCAGAACAGAAATAATAATTTGACTAGTCGTCTAAGAGAAAACTGAAATGCTGACTAGTTGACTACTAAAATAATGATTAGTGATCCATGGGTGTACACTTGTCTATGTGCTCTTAGACTTGTTCTGATACAGCTTAAGATCATTCTAAAGCTATCCAGGAATGGTTCATTTTTGTTCTATGAATGTGACTTTTTTTTTTGTTTCAATAATATTTTAGTATAGATTAGTAAATGATTTTGACAGCCCTATTCTCTATACAAATGATACTTAATGCTTAGGAATGGGACAAGATCTCATGAGACAAAATTGTCACAAGAGATCATTTCATTTCTCACATTACTGATCTCATGTTTACATTTGGATTGGACAAAAAAGGGGTTAAGTTTGAGTTACATTCTCTAGTTCCACAAGGCGTGCTACAATCATTAGCAGCAGCCCTGTTGGTGGCGTGTATGTAGAAGGTGATCTTGAAACAGTTTGGGAACCAGAGTGAGTCCAGGGATGGGCCCAGTGCCAACCTTGGGCACAGCTCGGCCCAGAGCGTGGCATGGCTTCTGCCGCAGAGAAAATGGCGGCTCTTGAAGGCATCACGCCACAACCTCCTGTCTGACACGGGATGTGATCTGCGTGGGGCTGGGTCTCTGTGTTATGGTAAATGTTATGGATATGATTAATTATGCCTTTAGTATTATGAAGAAGTCCCATATTTAAACAGCTGTTTATAGAATTGTACTTTTGTTATTAGTGAAAACAACAATGGTCTAGAAGTAAACTTGAAGGAAAAGGAGTTTTTTTCTTGCACATTCTGTTCTGTTATTTTCGTTGCCGATTATTACAATTATATAAAATGTCCCATGAACAGTTATTTTCTACCCTTTTTATCACAATGAACAATACTATTGTTTATTGTCCCATTTGTAGCACTTGTCTTTCATATGCGGAAGACATTTCCTCTCTTTAATCAATTCTGTAAAAATCAGCACCCTTTCTCAGTTCTTTATGTAGATTTTTCTCCTTTTTTATGTTAGCAGCCATGTTTATTTTAACGCGAACGGAGCTTCCCGTCTGAAATCAGGGAGACAGGATACAGCTCTAGACGCATCTTGTCTTTGTAAAGTTTTTTTTAAAGAGTATGGTTCTGGTTGGGCTGGGACTGTGTGAATCTTGGAGGAGGAAAGAGCCAGAAAATCACCAGGAACAAATCTCGGCTGCTGCCTGAAAGCCTTGAATGTCACCAAGTAGTTTTGTCTTGACCTTGAAAGCACTGTTTCTTTGTGGCATCATTAAAATCCCACAAATGAAAGAAAATTGTTGTTTTTTTCCAAGGATGAAGTCTGCTTCTGTCGCAATAGTACTAGAAATTCTAAAAAGTTTGTTATTATATTATTCTATAAAATTATTATTATTTTCTATAACTATAGGTTTTATTACTCAGATTTTTAAACTCAGATTTAATTAATATATATTTATTTGTGTGTTTCCTATAGATTTTGTACAGACTATGTTAAAAATACTTTCAATATTAATAATTTTCTTTAATGCAATTTGTGGAGTTTTAATGTCATTTACTACCAGGATTTCATATTTTAGCAGTATGATCATTTTAATTACTTTTATGTTATGTGATATTTTGTTATGCTAATGTCTAGTCCATTTTGGGGGTCCATCCTAGTCTATTCTGTTAATGGGAAACACTGGGATATATAAATATGGGGGGGTAAAAAAGAAGAAATTTCTAAAGTTATTCCAGAACGCATTTTCTCATCTTGATCAAAGCTTTTGTATCCAACATTCTCAAATAAGCAAAGCTTCTCTTTCTTACTCACATCTGTAAAGGTGGAAATAGTCGGGCGAATGGTGAAGTGGAGAAAAATGGCCGACATTATCTAAAGGTGACAGACTGAGGGAGGAATACATCCCCGGCCGCATGCCTAATGTTCCTCCATTTTAGCAGGGTTCAGTGAGGGAGCTCCGCTGTGCTCAGAATCACTAAGTGTCTGCTCCTGATTGGACACTGCCTGCTGAATTCTGATGTGACTTGACTGACAGCCATCACCGGGGAGGCTGCATTAGAATGGATACAGGGCCCAGGTTTGGTTAATGGTGTTTTAGGCCCATTTTGTGCATTCTCCAACCATAGCCATCTCCCCCAGTGTTTCCGATTAGTAGAGGACACTATGGTGACTCACCAACAATACTAAAATTTTGATACTAAGGAATAAAAAACAATTCTGATACAACAATGATAATTAAAAACACACAATAGAATGTAATTTTCAACATTAAATCGTAGTACTTCCTTTTATATTACCATGTGATGTTATATCTAATGTAATAATCCCTCAGTAATCTCTCAGTCATCTTGGTAGGTTCCATAGTGATCCATGGGCGTATACTAGTCTATGTGCTCTTATACTTGTTCTGATACAGCTTAAGATCATTCTAACGGCATCTGGAAAAGGTTAATTTCTGTCCTGTGATTATGACCTTCAGTTTCGATATGAGAATCAAATGAGAATCTAGTTTCAATACCAGTTTTAGTATTGATTAGTATCAGATTTTCAATACTTTTGACAGCCCTATTCCCAATACAGATGATACTTAATGTTTAGGACAAGATCTCATGAGACGAAGTTACCACAAGATTTTGCGCACATTAAATGATCTCATGTGTTTACGTTTGGATTGGACAGAAAAGGGGTTAATTTGGGGTGAGTTATTGAGAAGCTGTAGTTCAATAAGGACAACAATGACAGCAACAATATTAAATAAAAGTAAATCAAAAATGTTGAGGCCAAAATTGTGAACTGAACTTCACCGTTTATAGTTTAGAAGTTGAGTCAAAATCTCATCTGGTCTGGTTTTCGTGATCTCGTTTCATTCTGTGAAAATTGTATCTCACCCCACTCCTAGGTTTTAGTATTCAGTGTTTCCCATTAATAGAGAAGAAAATAAACACTGGCATTGTCGCATACTACAAATGTATTAAATTTAAAAATGTATTAAATAAAATTATGCAAATATGCCTTTTCATTTTACACAATAGTCTAATCCCATAGGAAACACTGTGTCCAATTTACATAGACGTATTAAAGCAAAGCCGCTAACGTTTGTGTTTTTGGTGTATTTTAACTTCAGGGTTCAGGCCAAAGTCAGAATGAGTCATCCAATCAGAGCCTGTGCAGCGTGGGCTCGCTCAGTGACAAGGAACTGGAGGTTGGTGCCTGTCATATTTTCACCTTTTTTCTCTAAATGTTATACCTTCTTTAAATAAATGGTCTTGATCGCTTTGCTGTAGACTCCTGAAAAGAAGGCGAATGACCAGAGGGTACGCAAAAGGAAAGCAGACCACTTTGATGGCAGCCAAGGTGAGTTTTATCTTTAATTAAGCTTTTGACATAACTTTTTTAATATTTGCAATTTATTCAGTGTTTTTTTTTTTTTTTTTTTCAAATAACCCATAATATATATGCACATAGTTTTTTCCACATATAGTTGATATCAAAGTAATATTATATGTTAAGTCTTACAGTGACTAAGAAATTGTATTAAGTGTGGAGTAACTGTAAGGTAAAATGTAAAGGATTTCAGTGGTTTTCTGAAGGGGGAAAAAAAACAAAAAAACATAGCTATTGAAATCCTATGAAAACTATTGAACACTCTTGCAGAAAATGTACTGTATGAATGTCTAACCTGACTTCCTCCCTTTAAATTTTTTTATTTATGACATAACTCTTTTGAACACTGTGCATTTATTGAACCTTTGCTTGTCTCTTACAGGCAAAGCAGGAGTAAGAGGACATAAAATTAGTGATTATTTTGAGGTGAGTTTCTGAAATCATTCTCTCTAATTGTTCCAAAACGCTGCGTAACATTTCAGACTTTGTTTTTACCCCTTCTCTTTATGTCTTCTGTCTCTTGCCCTGGTCCGTGTGCCAGTTTGCGGGGGGCAGTGGGCCTGGTACCAGTCCCGCCCGCAGTATTCCCCCAGTGGTCCGCTCTTCTCCTCAGCACTCGCTCTCAAACCCTCCTGTTACGGTGAGAAGAAGGCTTTTCTTTCAAGTCTGCTAACACGTCTTTCTGTTTTCCCTTTTCCATACTTTCTATCTGGATATTAATATGAGGCAATGAATGGAGATTTGATCAATAGCAAATGTCACTGTATACGTAGAAGCAGCTGGGATCTATAGCTTTTTCATGATTCAATTCAATTACGACTCTGAGGCATTTTTGTTTTACCGCAATTTACCATTCATATGAAAATGGTGCCTACTTTTTTAAATGTGCAGAACTGCAAGATGAACTACTGGCTTTTATTCAACACTATTTTATTTATTAGTGCATTGTGTAACTTTTCTGATGGAGGGTCCGTCAAATGCTTTTCTCCATGAAGATGTTATTGCTTTGTCTAGGATGTTCCACAGTCTGGTATTAAGTCTTTTATCTTGATGGAGACAGAACCGGACCAAGTTACAGGTCAGATCTGTGGAGTGGCAGCCCTGCTCACAGTCAGCAAGTATCAAGTATTTTGGAGCTATAAACCCAAATGTAATTGAATAAATGTAAGGTAGAGCTGTTTAATGTCATACTGTGGAACATTCCAGGCAGAGAAATGACATAGAAACAAGCAGGTGATGGACCCCCCCACCAGAAAAGTTACACAATGCACCTTTAAATGGATCCTTGAGTTGTTTTTATGTGATATGGATTATTTTAGCTGGTAGTAAATAATATTGGTATTATGACGGTGCATCTAATACAGAGCAGCTGTTAGCGGCGCTTCATGCTATCCATTTAGTTTCTTTGCAGACTTGTATAAGAGAAACTACAGCTAACACGCGTCTGTCCTCTGCAGGGAGTCTTTCATTATTTATTTTTTAGTAAATATATTATATAAGGGGGTCTCAAACTGTGACACTCAAGCTCCTTCAGGTGGTACTTGGAAGGCTCCTTAGTTTGTGGGTTTGCCTAAATTAGACTTTGTCCTCCTTGGATAACCTTGGATAATTTCTTATTTACAACTACAGTGGAAATGTTAGTCTACTTTTAGACCTGGGTTAGCCCGAGATTAGACCTGGAATGGTCCTGTTATAGACTTGGTTTAGATCTGGTGGTACTCAGAAAGCCAAATCCTTTCTTTGGTAGTACTTGGTTTGTAAAGTTTGAGTTGTTTTATATTATTTGTGTAGAATTATAACAGAAACTCTGCTTTGGAGCTGAACAGACTTGGACAAATACCAAATTGTGATTTTCTGGCTTGATTGTGATTGAAATTAGACTTCGTTTTCGCTGCAGTCTGTCCAGTTCTCCATGCACATTTTAAACCCATCCAGTACAAGTAACATTGTGAAAAATTCTGAAATACAAACTATTAAACGAGGGTGCATAGTGGAACTTTTTTGGTGGATATCCTGTAGAATACTTTTCTCCATGACCAGACCAAACGAGATCAAGTTACAGGTCAGATCTGTGGAGACTGAACCCCACTCACCCTGTCACAATGCCTGTTTTTCTATGTATATTTGAGCTATAAAACCACCTGTAATTAAATAAATGTATGGTAGATAGTGTGGAACATTCCAGGCAGAGCAATGACATGTCCGTAAAAACAAGCAGGTGACAAACCCTCAACTATAAAGTTCCACCTTTAAACACTTAAATAATTTCAGTGTTTGCAATTTCTAGTTGTAGCATTTCTTTTTTATGTGTTGAATTAGTTTTGATTAAATGTATTTATTTTTGTCTCCTTCAGGTGCAGCAGGGAAGCCCCTCCTCTGTTGGTTCCTCAAACACAGAGCTGTCCTCATGTTCCCTGAAGCCTCTGTCTCTTCTCCTGCTCCACAAAGCCACACAGGTGACTCCACTGCTCCACACACGCACACACGCACACACGCACACCCGCACACACGCACACGCACACCTACACACCTCCTGGTTTCTGGTCAGATAGTTATTACACTGAGAGCAGCTATTAAAATGAGAATTACATTTTGAGATGCGCTGGCCAGACATAACTCTATAATCATGCATCTATTTGGGTGCGGTATTTTTGAAGAACTTAATCATTTCTTTTCAGATTTTAAATGAGAATATCAGAAACTCAGATGGGAGCAGGAGACGGTGTTCTCTTATTAAGTTAAATGTTACGGTCTATTACACGATTTTTCTTTATCTATCTTACAATTTTTAATAATGTTTCCTCATCACAGACATACCTGGAGTTGTGTTTTGTTTCATTCGCACGTTTAACACGCAAACCCTGCATATTTATTCTGCATTCTTCTCCCAAGCAGAAAACCCTGTTCTATCTTGTGATGTCATGTGGTAATACAGGAAGTGCACCAATGTGTTTGTAAACTCCATACACTTTCAGTAGAATCATTTGGATGATTTCCAAATGATTCTAGTGACCCTGGAGTTGCCATTCTCTACTAAACAAAAGGTAAATAGTAGGTGGTAACTTGAAAACTACCTCTCCGTGACATCACACGGTGGAACAGAGCATTTTGAGCTTTGGAGATGTAGACAGACTAATAAAAAAGGATTACTCAAACATGTACCACAAAACACAACTCCAGTTTTGTTTTTATATTATTTACATTATGTTATTTACATTATAACATGGCTTAAAGCTCAAGAGTATTGCATAATATAGGACCTTTAAAGACATACAACTAAAACACATGCCCAACATCTTTTTATAATAAAGGCAGCAGTATTATTAAATTGAAATGTCAATGTGCTATAGTTATAATGAATAATAATAATGCATTTTATTTAAAGAGCTCCTTTTTGGGCACTCAAGGACACCGTACAAACAACAATTAAGACACAATTAAAAACAATCAAACAGTACAGGACAGCTTCTAAAACATCAGGACATTAATGGGGGTAGGCTCATTTAAACAAATGGGTTTTGAGTCTGGATTTGGATGTTTGGAGTGAATCAAGATTACGTAGGTCGGGTGGGAGTGAGTTCTAGAGCTGTGGAGCAGAGTGGCTCTGCCCCCCAAGGTGACGAGGCGACAGAACGAAATGTTTTTCATCAAAGTAAAGAGTGCATACTTTGAGAATTTGAATATGAAATCCTTTAAAAATATTTAGTAGTAGTTTTTTTTCTAGTATTTTGAACTGTACAGTAACCACACTTTAGCTCTTATGATCACAGGTCAGATCTCACATGGCAGATTTTCACCTGCATCACACTGTCACTGCAAATCCATAATTCAGTCCTCAATTTCCACCGTCCCAAATTAAGTGCACCAACAACCTCCTCCCCAGGGCCAGTCCACAGGAAAAATGCCAGGGCCGAATTTTGTGTTCCCAGTCCGACCCTGCACACTATACACAAATAACATAATTACGAACAGTGTTACTCTGCTCCAATGCAGAATGGTTTTGGCTCATAAATAATTTATTCATTCCGCTTGGCTAAAAATCACAATAAATATTAAACATATAAAACGCAACTAACTTTCTAAGAGAGAGTACTAAAATTGATAAATAAATGGATTACAATTTATTCATTAGTACAATAGCAGCTGGATCGAAGCTCCTTTTAAAATTATTTGTTCTATATTTTTTCAAACATGCATAAGATATAGAAGATATTAATTTATTTTTCATGCTTGTAACTCATCCACTTTGAGGACAAAATGTTCACTCATGGCCTATGACGAAGAGAACGAATAGATTACCTTTTTTGTAATTATATAAAAGAAAATTTAACAAAATATTAGTTTGCTACTCAAATAAGATTGCATATGTGCATCTTACAAGCCAAGAATACAAATAGGACATTACAAACTTCACCAGTCAGTTCCCACAATGTTGTATTTTATTATAGCCCATATTACACTACTTTCTGATCTCTGTTTAATGTTGTATCCTTATCACAAACAAGCCTGGAGTTTTATTTAGTTTCATTCACACATGTTTAACACACAAACTCTGCATGTTTAAGTTGAGTTCTTCTCTCAAACAGCTTCACTAGAATCATTTGGATAATTTCAGCCCTGGAATTGCCAATCATTACTGAACATAAGGTGAAATGTAGCTGTTAACTTAAACTATCGCTTCATGACATCACAAGGTGGAACAAGGCATTTTGATCTTTGGAGACGTAGATAGACTAATAATTAAGGATTACTCAAGCATGGTGAATGAAAAAAACTAAACAAAACACAACTCCAGGTATGTTTTTGATGAGGTAACAACTTTCAAGCATGTTTTAAAGCTCACAAGAGTTAAATTTGCGTAATATAGTACTTTTAAGTTACAATCATTATTTGTATGTTTCTCTTATAGTCGGACCTTACCTTAGAGAAACTAACAGCAATAGAAAACAACAAGAACTCTGACCTGGAGAAGAAAGAGGGTCGAATAGACGATTTACTGAGGGTATGTGATATGAATTTTATTGTTTATTCAATTAACAAACTATTTTAAATTACTTTTTACTTTTAAAATTTCTATGGACTGCTAAATTGTCTTTGTTTTCTTTTTAGGCAAACTGTGACTTGAGGAGACAGATAGATGAACAACAGAGGATGCTGGAGCGATACAAGGAGCGCTTAAATAAATGTGTGACCATGTCTAAGAAGCTGTTGATTGAAAAGGTGTGTTTTTACTCACTGTAGACCATAACAGATGTTTTACTGATTTAAATGCACACAATGGAACATTTCTGGAGGGTGTCTGCCATCTGCTTGTCTCCTTGGAGATTTCATTGCTTTACCTGGAATTTTCCACAGTATGGCATTTATTTTTTATTGTTTTATTTATGCATTTACCTTTTTAATTGCTCATAAATACCTAAAGTGTCAACTGCTGGTCTTGATGGAGATGGATAAGTTTAAGGCCGTATTGTGGAAGTTCAATAAAATCTCCATGGAGACAAGCAGTGGCCGACGCTCGTACAGAAAGTTACATAGTGTGTCTTTCTTAGTCTATTTAATTTTTGTTGTATTTTTGTGTTAAACCTATATAACTCAAATGTTTTAGTTGAGCCATCACTGTGCAGGCATATCTTAAATCAACTACAGCCTTGCTATTGTTATATTTTTTGGAAATTAACTACACCTTTATTTATATTATGTGTCTTTAATTCTTTCTGTATTTAATTTTTGTTGTATTTTTTTGTGTTTCAGTCCAAACAGGAGAAGATGGCGTGCAGGGACAAAAGCATGCAGGACCGGCTGAGACTGGGCCATTTCACCACAGTGAGACACGGAGCCTCCTTCACAGAGCAGTGGACAGACGGATACGCCTTTCAAAACCTTATCAAGTAAACATCACGATTTTGGTCTTTTCAATCAATACTTTGCAGTGACATCACTCTGGGGGTGTTCTACGTGTGTGTCTCTAATGGCGGGATGTTTACCATGAAGAGTTACCATGGTGATGCAATGACCTCATTTGCAAAAATTTGCCAAAAAAAAGTTTTAAGATAGTCTGAAAATTCAAGAAAAAATACAAAATGGATTTAAACTGCACATTTTCAGAGCCTGTGATCAATAAGTGTCATGACCCTGTTCAGGTGTTTGATTTACAACAAAAAGATGAGGGTGACTAACTGAATGATCAAATTGTGTTAAAATAAAGCACAGATTAAAGTCTAATGAAGTCTCAAACAGAACAGTCCCTACAGTTAGCATCACACCCCCAGGGGATATTTAACGACATCAACTGCAAAGTATCAATTCACCAAACTCGTAGTGCATATTTGGTTTTCTCAGAAGTACTCATAGATTTCTGAAATGTTCATGAATGTCCTGTTTTATTGGTGCCATTTTAAGGACTGTCACCGTTTAAAAGGATTTACATTGCTTTAAATTGTTAATAAATGGCAATGGGGCTAATTTTGTATCTCTCTGAATCTCATGAATTGAAGGAGTATTAAGGGCAAGGCCTTTGAGGGAATTGGATTTCAGTTTTAATTCTATCATTGACAGTCCTTTAATATATGTAATCCGCTTAATGGTTTTATAGCTTGACAGTTAAAATCACTTTACACAAGACATCACTGAATTAAACTAAGCTGTTATAAAGGCGTTGTTAAACATTGTAAAGATGATACCACAATATTTCTTGTAAAACTATGAAACAAGAACACAACTTCAGATATGTTTTTGATGATGAAACAACATAACAGATCAGCTCATAGCGTAATATGGGCTCTTTTAATGTCTCATCAAAACCATTCCTGTTATATTCTGAAATCCAAGTATTTTAACTAATGTAGTGAATGATTATCAAACCCTGTTATGCTCCTTTTAAACATCTGTTAACTAAATTTCCCTTGTGCATTTGTCTTGTGTTTCTAGACAGCAAGAACGGATCAACTCACAGCGAGAAGATATCGAGAGGCAGCGGAAACTACTGGCCAAACGCAAACCCCCCTCCATGGCCCAGACCCCCCCTCCCAGTTTAGAGCAAAATAAACGGAAAAGCAAAGCCAACGGCACAGAGAGCGAAGCGTAAGTTACATTTGGATCAATTCAGCAAACATATGGTTTAGGGCTGTATGCTTTTTAGTTGTTTAGTCAGTTGGTAGGGATGTAACGATATCCAAATTTCTCAATATATTTTTTCATTATGCATCTTACGGTACAATACTTATTTCAATATTTAGGTTAAAAAAATTGTGAATGTACTACTTTTTTCCTTAAAAATACCCTGGCACACCTTTGGTTCTGTTAAACCAAAGATTTAAGATGTAAAAGTGCTTACTAAATTATTTCACCATGTAAATTGGACTGAAAGTAGTAGTAGGGACGGGACAAGATCTCGTGCCACAAGATCTCGCAAGACAAAATTGCCATGTGATTGTGCAAACATACTGAAAATGATCTTGTGAGATTTTTTTTCTCACATTTTTAACTTTGGATTGGATACAAAAATGGAGTTAAGTACTGGTGATTTACATTTTTGAGAAGTTGTAGTCCCATAAACCATAGCCACAATGATAGCAGAAATATTTGTTCAGTTATTATAAATAATCACAAAATCTCGTCTTGTCTTGTTCTTGTAGATCCAGTCTCTTGTCTCGTCTCATATTGTGGAAATTGTATCTTGTCCCACTCTCAATATGTCGTTCTCTTTGTTCCTTTTAGCTATTGCTGCACCATAACAATGAATTTAAGCAAAAAGAGAGATTTGATTTATTGTGATGGCCCACGATATTATGGAGAGACTTTTGACTATACAATATCATGAACTTTTGGTTATTGTTACATCGCTATGTATTAGTCAACTATAATATGAGTATTTTTAAGGAAAACCATAGAAAGAATTCATGGAGTGAGTTAGACAGAGATTAAGAAGTGAATGATGAGCCTTTTGTACAGGAAAATCCACTGTTTACGGGAATTCATGCAGTTACAATAATTTATGTATACAGAAAAGTACACGTAATCTTGCGAGCACAGTTTGGGGTCAGATACACGGCCAAGGATATGTAATAGATAGGTTTTTGGGAGCTTTTTGTTAGCACCAGGCCATGCTTACTTTTTATTTGACCTTTATGCAACTTAAAGGCTTTAGTCAAACAATCTGACATGTAAATCAACTGCAGCTGTAATACTGTATGTAGTTTATGGAAATTGACAAAACTTTCATGTCTTTTTAGGTTATCACAAGCAGAGTATCACGAGCAAGAAGAAATTTTTAAGCTTAGACTAGGCCATCTTAAAAAGGTAAGATTTTTTTTTTTTTTTTGTTTTTTGGCATTTTATTCACACTAAAAACACATAAACCACTAAAACTGCAACTAGACAGACACTAATCTATGAACCTGACAAAACCAAAACCAGACTAGAACTGAATCAAGTCATCAGCAGAAACTGGGCCTAAACCAGGACAAAACCTGTGTACATGTATGGTATAATGTATACTTACAACATTCCTGTCTTTCTGTCTTGTAAACAGCAGGTGTCTGTGTTTGAGAGCTGCATTAAACAGAAAAGGCACTGAATCACTATTAAAGGTGCAATATGTAACTTTTTGGTTTAGGGGTGAATTGCTCTGCCTGGAATGTTCGACAGTATGACATTAAACAACCCTACTTTACATTTATTAAATTACAGGTGCTTTTATAGCTCCAAAACATCTAGAAAAATGCCCTTTATCTGATTTGGTCTTCATGAAGGTAGAAAGGTTTAATACCGTACCTTTGAAGCATTCCAAACAAATGGAGAAAAGCATTTGAAGGACTTTCCACAATAAAAGTTACACAATGCACCTTTAAGGTAGTCAACAAAATCTATCTTAAAAAAAAGTCTTGAAAAGTTACTCATTTTGAACAAGTATCAATACAAAACCACATCTTAGAAATGGCCTTGATCTTTTTTTGAACTAGTATAAAACCACATGGAAAAAAATATTACTATTTTGTGTTGGATTGCGTTACATTCTATTGTCAAAGAAATTTGTTTTCAAGTATCATTAATCACGATTTAACCAAAACCTAACTGAAACTAGGCCAAGAATAAACCAGCATCAGCCAAGTCCTCATAAACTGGGCCCAAACCAGAAATAAATCAGTGTATGGTATAAATTACTTACAACATTCATGTCTTTCTGTCTTGTAAATAGCAACAGAATCACTATTTAAGTCAAGAAAATCTATACCAAAACTAGCATTGAAAAGATACTTGGAATTTGACGTATCAATACTAAATCACATATTAGAAATTGCGTATTAGAATGGACTTAATCTATATCGAACTAGTATAAAATGAATCAACTATTATTTTGGGTCTAATATAGTTGCATTCTATTGGCAAAGAAATGTGTTTTTAATTAAGAATCACTGGTAATGAAATCCACTTTTTCCAAAAATCAAGTTTGGAATTTTAGTATCATAAATCACAATATAACCAAAACCGAACTGAAACGAGACCAAGACTAAACCAAATCATTATAAACTGGGCCCAAACCTGGACAAAGCCAGTGTATATAAATTACTTACCACATTCTTGTTTTTCTATCTCGTAGGAGGAAGCAGAGATTCAGGCAGAGCTGGAGAGGTTGGAACGAGTCCGAAATTTGCACATTCGAGAACTCAAAAGGATCCACAACGAAGATAACTCCCAGTATGATCTGGCACAGTGTTGCTGTTAATGATTTTCTGTTATTTATTTGAATATTAAACCATCTTAACCTCTATTTTTATTCTGAACAGGTTCAAAGATCACCCAACGTTAAATGATAGATATCTGCTTCTTCACTTACTGGGCCGAGGAGGTTTCAGTGAAGTTTACAAGGTACAAGCTGCCAACATTCTCCCTATTTTTAAACAATTTATGTTGCTGTAAATACACAGTTAAGTCTACAAATTCACACCTACACAGAGAATATGCTGAAACTGCTTGATGGTTACGGAGTCAATGTTTTGCATAAACCATTTACAAGTCGACAAGGTTTTTACTGACAACTTGTACCCACTTCAGTAAATTTATTTCATATTGGGTTTAGAGGAAAATACAGTGTTACGTTAAATATACACATTATATATGGATGGAGCAAAGTGGACTTGTGGTTGGTACATGGTAGTTTTACAAGAAATATAAGAAAATCCTAAAATGTTGAACTTGATTAATTACTTAAGTGTAGTGATGGGGGAATGGAGCCTTCGTGAAGCATTGACGCCTCAGTCACAATATTGTCTCAAATGGTTCGACGTGTCTGAGGCCTTGGAGAAACACTGACCTCTAGTGGACAAATTTAACCATTGGCACACATGTGTCTCAGCATCGATGAAGTATTGTTAGTGTAAGACAATACTTGTGTGCAGAGCATACACCGTACCTAACAACAACAACAACAACAACAATAATAATGATGATTTAAAATAATATGTAAAGAGCAACATAAAAAGCTGCTGTAAATAAGAAAATAGGTGACCTTGTTAGGTGGAATTAGATCAAAATGATCCCAAAACATGGATTACTTTATTCCACTTGTAGATGCCATCAAAAATGAAGCAAATGCCAAAAGTCACCAAAAGTCACTAAAATCACCACTAACGTCACACAACACTCCTCACTACCCAACAGTTTTAAGAAATATTGGTGCATCTTTTATACTGTAGCAGTTTAGCGCTTGTCAAACCACAGAAGTGCGCTGAACACTCTGAAGTACTTTGAACCAATCGCAGAGCGGAACATTCGCTGAGCCAATGAAACGCTTCGATACACTGAAGCGATTGACACGCAGAGTGAAGCAGTAGAGGGAGGGACTGACACTTCCACACTTTGGTCACGTGAGCGGCTGCTGCGAGACGAGCTCCGAGGCAGTGCTTCCGAGCACCGTCTCATTTGCCCATCACTACTTAAGTGCTCAGACTTTTGAACTAGCCCTATTAAAACAAATATTTGGCTGCCAGTTTGTGCCATCAGTCCCTCTGAGCACCAACACAACACTCATGCTCCACTTTCATACTAGGGAATGTTAGTAAAGTGCTTGCCCAAGGACACAACAACCCAGCGATCTAATATCCAAGTACTAACCAGGCCCAACCCTGCTTAGATTCTGAGATATGACGTGATCAGGCTTTGACAAAGAGATTGTCTGTTAAAGTACTTTTAAAGATGGGAATATATGAGTAGGAGATGCAGATGTTTTAACAAGATTTATAGATGTAGCTTAAAAGAAGATGGTACTTCAAGAATGGATGCAACAGTCCATTGTAGCAGACCCAGTATTGTAGGAGATGTAAGTATACTTATATGGTATGTTATCAGAGTGCCTCAGCTGTGCGTAGTTCACACAATATGAGCTGAATTACATTGCACTGGGATGACATCATGAGCTTTTTGCAGTAAATGATTTAAGTTGGTGGAGAATTTAGTTGGTGCCAAGAATGTGCCATTGTTATTGTAATAACAGTGAAAGATTAGGGCTGCTTAATGTAACATGTAAAGCCACACTGCAGCAAGACGTTAGGCATAATGTTGGTATTAACGGGCCCATAATACGCTATTTTCTGATCTATGTTAAAATGTTGTTTCCTCTAAAAAACATACCTTGAGTTTTGATTTGTTTAACATACAATCCCTGAATATCTAGGCTCAGTTTTTCTCTCAAACAGAAACTACACTCTTCCACCTTGTCATGTCATAATTCAGGAAGCACTCCAGTACAAAAGGTGAAGAGTAGCTGTCAACTTGAAAACTACCACTGCATCACAGGGTTTTGACGATGTAGACAGACTAATAATAAAGGGTTACTCAAAAGAAACTAATGAAACAAAACACAACTCCAGGTATGTTTTTGAGGGGGTAATAACATTATAACACAGCTTAAAGCTAACAAGACTCAATTTTGCGTAATGGGACCTATAAATCATCTTGATAATTATATTTTTCAGGCTTTTGACTTGACGGAGCAGAGGTACGTTGCCGTTAAAATCCACCAGTTAAACAAGAACTGGAGAGATGAGAAGAAGGAAAACTATCACAAGTGAGTCCTGTTTTACCCTCTCGAATCTATAGGCTTTTCTAATGTAAACAGTTACGCTACTCATGTTTGCTTTGTACATGGAACTCATCATGTCATCTCTGGGTTATGTAGATTAACAATAATAACAACTCATTTTTAATGTCTTTAAAATATGTTGTGTTTTCCTAAAGGCACGCATGCAGAGAATACAGAATCCACAAAGAGCTGGACCACCCTCGAATAGTTAAACTCTATGACTACTTTTCACTCGACACAGACTCGTAAGTAACTTTTTGAAAAACAGTAGAATAAATGTGTGTGTTTTGGTTTGTGTGGATCAAGGATTTGTATTTGAATTGGAAGGTAGCTGATTCGTAAAAATTAACTCACTATGTAAAAGTTGAATAATTATATTCTGATCTAAAGAAAAAACAAACAAACACATACACATTTATGCTTAGTAGCTTTATATTACTTTCAAATTAGATCTGCTTATTCTGAGTAGGGATGGGCATTCGATCAAATTTTCTTACTTGATCGTCGGGAGAATTAACGATCAATTATCGATTTAATCATTAATGTTTTTTATATTAAAATTTATCATCATTATTATTACTATCTGCACTTCTAATCTGCATAAATAAATTCAACTTTACAACATATAAACCGTAACCACTCTAGAGCCACATCAGCCCGTTTGACATTATAATTGTTTAATGCAGCTTTGCACAACTCTCACAGAAACGAAACTTAAAACCGCATGGCTAATTTGCATAAATTAAGCAAGAAAAAAACAGCTCTTGTGCGCTGATGCGACATGACTCAGTGGAATACAGGTTAGTGTGACCATATTTGCGTTTGTCAAAACCAGGACACCGTATGGGGGGTGGGAGGTGGGGACTCGTCATCGACATTTAGCTACTCTCACCTGGCAAAGCTTTTTCCCACTGGACACCGAAACATATGTGCTGCTTTGTACACTGTGCACACGGACTCACACTTGTCCCGAACGCAACGGAAAGTGTAGAATTTCTTGTACAAGTCATTGTTAAATACGCATTTGTGCTTCGGCACGTTGCAGACTGAGCGACTGTTTGTGTTTGCTCGCTCCTTCTGAGTGCAGAGAGACACGTGTACGGATCACTGTTTGGTCACACTACACACAGCAACCTACCTCTGTCGATTAAAATGAAAGTAATCGATGAAATTCGTAATGATCACTTATCGATTAATCAACTAATCATATCCATCCCTAATTCTGAGAGTCTACTTCAGTGTTCGGGATGGGACGAGACACAATTTTCACAAGACAAAACACACCACGAGATTAGATCCATGAGAACGAGACAAGACGAGATTTGGACATAATTTGTAGGCATAGTAGTGCAGTTCATTTCACAATTTCGGCTTCACTGTTTTTATTTATTTTATGCAATACTTGAGCGGCCACTGTGCTACTGCTTTTTGGAACTACAGCTTCTCAAATTATATCACTCACCAGCTCCTAACTCTTTTTTTAGACCAAGCCAAGCCAGAAGTAAATTCAGGGGGAAATAAATTTAACTAGATCATTTTTCTTATGTGTGCACAATCTTGTGGCAGTTTTGTCTCGCGAGATCTTGTCCCATTCCTACTCAGTGTGATTGATAATATCCACTGTCACTCGCTCAGAGCGTGTCGGAGACGGACCAGTGTAAGTAATTGTTGCGGAAAATGTAAACAGCTGGTGTCTGTGTTTGAGCATAGAGCCACAGTAAACAGAAACAAATAAAAACACTGAAAGAACTTGAAAAGATGCTAATTTCTTACAAATTTAAGTATTCAAGTATGGATACAAAATCACATACAGGCCAGAATTTGACCTTTCCTGTCTACTGTAGATTAAGAATGATTTTGATATTTGTCAGAATTAGTACAAGACCACATCCTGTTTTTTCCTTTTTTTTTATTATGATGGAAATTTGCATGAAGCCTTTTTAGTTTCAGAATCAAGATTGACATTTTACTACTGTGACAACACTAATCACAGTATAGCCATCTGTCCAGCCTGACAAAGCGTCACAGGGATCATAAAATTTGTGGATTTTCAGTTGGGTTGATGGACATTTGATATATGACACCATAAAATGCTGTTTGAGCTGGTGCAATTATAAAATCATAAAGGCCACTACAATTAGTATCAGTTTGTATTTCAGTCTTTTCTCTGGACCCCGAACAGATCCTAATTTTAAAATGCAGTACTTGAAAGAAAAACGCAATAAGAATTTGCTCCATAATTGTGCAGCTTTTCCTTTAAAACTATAAAGCGATACATATTTGTGTTGTTTGCTGTGCCCCAGGTTCTGCACGGTGCTGGAGTACTGTGAGGGCAATGACCTGGACTTTTACCTGAAGCAGCACAAACTGATGTCAGAGAAAGAGGGCCGCTCCATCATCATGCAGATCGTCAACGCGCTCAAGTACCTCAACGAGATCCGACCGCCCATCATCCACTATGACCTCAAACCTGGTACGCAAATACACTACGAGAAAAAATATTATAGATTGTGAGCTAACCTTATTTCACAATTCTGAAATTGCCCATATTACGCCATTTTCTGATCCATGTTATAATGTTATTTCCTCATCACAAACAGACCTGGAGTTGTGTTTTGTTTCATTCATTTCACTGTTTTTAAACTCCAGACACCTTCCCTAGAATCATTTGGATAATTTCAGATGTGGAATTGCCGATCTCAACAGAACTAAATGTAAAAGGCAGCTGTTAGCTTGAAAACTACCACAACATGACATCATGAGTTGGAAAAGTGCATTCTGACTTTTGAAGCTGTAGACACACTAATAATAAAGGGTTACTCAGACAGGTATGTTTATTTTAACATGGCTTAAAGCTCACAAGAGTCACTAGGACCTTTAAATGTGCAATACTCAATTTATGATGAAGTAAAAATTGGTTTTGCCCAAATGCATTTATTGCACAAGTGGCTGTTGGGGCTGTTTTTTTGTTGTTGTTGTTGTCCATATCTAGTTATAATCCACAAACCAAGAAGTGAGACTGTAGTGCTGTTAGCATGCCAGTGATGCCCCGACTTCTCTCTAGTTTCTGAAAGTAGTGAAAAATGCTTAGAAACTCTTTGCGGTGAATAATCATTTTTACCATCTGTCCAGGAACAACAGATGAGAAATACTCTCTCTGGCTAATTCTGGTGCTTCTTAACGTACACTGCCTCTGTTAAATGAAACAAAAATAAATTAGGATGCTTGGAAAGTTAGAAGTAAGTTTGGAATTTTAAAACAAAAATCTGACATTATGACTTCTAGCCTCCCTCCCATAACCCTTGTTAGTGCAAAAATGTGAGCAGCTTACAGAAAAGAAGCAGTGCAAAAAGTCGTTGCCACTAACCTGCTCTGGGATTTTTCCACTATGTTTAATGAATAGTTAATGATGGAAAAGTCTTGTATCACACCTCAACTCCTGTGAGCTTTTAGTCATTTTATAATGTTGGTTTCTCAGCAAAGACTTACCTGGAGTTGTGTTTTGTTTCATTTATTCATGTGTGATTAATCTGATTAATCCTCTATTCTTAACTTGTCTACATCTCCAAAGCTCAAAATGCTCTGTTCCACCTTGTGATGTCATGTAGTGATAGTTTTAAAGTTAACTACTTCATTTTACCTTTAGTTTAGAAGTAGTGGATTTGCAGTTCTAGGGCTGAAATTATCCAAATTATTCTAGTGAAAAGAAAAACATAGTGCAAGATTTCCTATATTACCTCATGACATCACAAGGTGGAACAGAGTGTTTACATTTGAGAGAAGAACTCAGCCTCAATATGCAGAGTTTGAGTGTGAAATATTAATAAAACAAATCACAACTACAGGTATATTTGTGATGAGGAAATAACATAACAGATCAGAAAATAGTGTATTACAGGCCCTTTAAACTTGATGGGAAAACAATACCTTGTGACCAAGTCCACACATAAACCCAAGTGCTTTTAAAGTGAAATGAAAGCTTTATGTGAACCATATACACACCCAGTCTAACTACTGAATTACTGCTTTGTATGTGGGTCATCACAGCCATTAAATTCCTTTGAGCTGAAATCCAAACTTGAAAACGCGCTGACGTGTTTTTGTTCCTCTAAATCTTCTCTTCACTCTGGTTTTAGGTAATATCCTCCTGGTGAACGGCACGGCCTGCGGGGAGATCAAGATCACAGACTTCGGTTTGTCCAAAATCATGGATGACGACAGCTACAACTCTGTGGACGGGATGGAGCTGACGTCGCAGGGAGCAGGGACTTACTGGTACTGGTCTTTTAACCTCCGGCTGTCAGAAAAGAGCTGTCGTGTTTAATTCAAAGGCGCCATGTTCAGATTTTTATTATGTCTGACACTTCCAAAAGACAAAAGGCAAGGGAACATTCACAAGAAATTCCCAAAATCCTTAGCGCTGAGGTGGATTTTTCCTTGGGTTTGTTCTCGTCTCCTTTTCCAAACTTCATGTATGCAGGTGGCTCAAAAGGGGAACAATCAGACCAATCACAGGGCAGCATTGTGATCTGAAGTTAGAGGGAAAGGCGTTCAGTCAAATCAAATCAAATCAAACCTGGCAACAATGTAGACGTGGTTCCTAAACCTGTCTTAAACCAAAATGCCTGTTGTTAAATCTAACCCTAACGTTCAACTGATTGTGAAGTACTATATACCATCAAAAATTCTGTCTATAACTGTCCAAGTACCTCTACATTGGACCAAACTGCTATAATGTGTAAACTAATCTAAATCTTTCCATCTGTCTGAAGGTACCTGCCTCCTGAGTGTTTTGTGGTCGGTAAAGAGCCTCCAAAAATCTCGAATAAAGTGGACGTGTGGTCTGTGGGAGTCATCTTCTACCAGTGTCTGTACGGCAGAAAGGTGAGAGCACAAGCAGCATTTTACTAAAACTAACATCTACACAGAGTAATAGTTAGACTGCTGCATTTATTAGTTCTTCCATCATAGCTTGCAGGTCCTATGTTTAATTCCTGAACAGATTTTCTATATCATACCAAGAAAGACATGTGCAATAAGGAACTTTGCCTGAATTTTCATTGTTTCCCACAGCTTTTGTTCAGACTTGGGGGGCACAAATATATATTTAGATATTAATAATTTTCTCTCCTATAACTTGCACAGTATAAATGTTGCTTGTTTCCTATATTTCACCTTTAAGCAGCCTGGACTGTATAGTTAGATTGGTTTTCTTACAATACAGTGAGCAACAAAGTGTGATTTTATAGTTTATAGATCCTGTTTGGCCCTATTCTCATCCAGGTTTAGTTCTGGTCTAGTCCAGGTTAAATTCCAGTTTTAGTCCCAGTTTTCCTCTGGTCTGTGTGCAAGTGTTAATGCACCTTTGAACTCTATTAACTTCAGCTCATCATGAGATCTTCTAAAAACTTTTTTTTTTTCTTCCACAGCCGTTTGGACATAACCAGTCACAGCAGGACATCCTCCAGGAGAACACCATCCTGAAGGCCACAGATGTGCAGTTCCCTCCTAAACCTGTAGTCACACCAGAAGCTAAGGTAAAAGGAGCCTTTACAATATCACAGGGACAAAGGTTTACCCAAGACCTAATATTATATTGCTAATGAGGTGTGACTTCCAATTTATTACAAGATTTGTTATTGTTTGCAAAATGGAATCAACTTCAAAATATTTTAAGAATACAAATAATAATGCTCAAAGTCTGTGGTGGTAATTTACTGTTGTAGCCACAGCTGACCCCTCTGACCATCACCAACACTCACTCAGCACATTCATACTAGTCAGTGTGGGTGGAGTGTCTTGCCTAAGGACACAACAACAGTTTCCACTTGAGCCACTGCAGCGCCTGGTGTTCCCCGTGGTCTCTCATCCAAGGACTAACCAGGCCCAACTGTGCTCAGCTTCTGATATCAGATAAGATCAGGCACTGACAAGATGGTACAGGAATGCACAAAATATTATCAGAGAAAATCTCAAAACCTCCATTTTGAACTCTTTTATAATAGTGTCAAGGAAACATGTGTCTTCTATTTGCAACTGACTTTACTTTACATTTTTACCTTTAAAAAGAAAAAAGAATCTTGATTCTATGCTGTTGTTCTGCTGTTTCCCCCAGGCCTTTATAAGGCGCTGTCTAGTGTACCGTAAGGAGGACCGTATAGATGTGCACCAGTTGGCCAGTGACCCATTCCTGATGCCCCACATCCGAAAGTCAGTGAACTTCTCGGGGTCTTCAGGGACCGCCGTCGCCTCCACCTCCAGCTCCTCCAACAGCAGCGCCTCCAACTGAGCTCACCCCACACAAACTGAGGGAGGTTTACAGAGGGATGGGTCTCCACATCATCCCAGAGCCATCGTGAAGAGCCCACGGAGAGTTCAGACAGGGCAGTGGGGTGGTGGTGCCCTCCGGCCCTCCCACCCCGGCCTGCTTTCTCCAGAGGGGGGCGCGGTTCTGGGGGTCAAAGCCCTGGAGCGCATGGGGCAAAGAGTTTGGCGGTGTGGTGTTTGGGGACTTCTTTACTTTTCTGCTTCAAATAAAAAAAGAGAAATTTATTAGAAGTATGGATCTGCTTCAGCTTGGCCATAAGGGACACAGTCTGCTGAAGGCCTACATCTCCCATAATGCATCACTCCCATGCATGAGCTGGTCCGGACCCAGCCTGACGTCCCTGAGCTCAAACTGATATTGTCCGTTTGTCCGTTAAACAAAAATACAAGTTTGGGCCTGTTTTAAACCCCAAAATCTATATACCGCTAAGTCCTCTTCTGGATGCCCACATGTCCCTTAAATTCCATATATTTTGTTACGAGGAGAGATGAGCCCTTCCCTCCATTTCCTCCTTGTTCCTTTTCCTGTGACCAAAGCTTAAAACTTCCAGCTGGTGGCGCTGTTCCACCAATGTTTTTATAATGAATGGTTTTAGAGATGTGTTACTTGATATGGAGTGAAAGATATTGAGGATAGAGACCCCATTTTACATTTTTTAAAAAGGTTTTCAATTTGAGCAGTTTTATGGACAAACTGTTGTTTTTCAAGTTGCCTTTTCTTAGAACAGTTCTCGTTTTGGTTGACCTCCCTCTTCACCATAACACATATTTATTTAGGTATGTTTGAATTTATTTTTGGCCAATGAAATGCAAGGAACTGCTTCACCTTATAGTACTGTCGGGGGGAGACTGGGCCTTAGCCGAGTTGCATAAACCATTAAATACTATTGGTTAAAACGTGCTCTCGTCTTTGTTTTCTTTGGTTATGCATTATACTGTTTTAAAAGCTCTGAAAATAATGATCTGAATTGAAAGAATAATGACTATTATTTTTTTGTAATACATTTAAAAGTTTATGTTCATCTGACGCTTTTTCATAGATTATTTAGCAGATATTTTGATTAAATAAGAATATCAATATGTAACTGCCATGTTTATATTTGGAACTTTCTTTTTTTTTTTTTTTTTTTATCAAAATTTTGCTGAAAGTTGTTTTGTTATTTTCTCGGTAAATTTCCCAGAAGAATAAAACAAGTTTCAGTGTTTGTCCAAATTGCTTTAAATGGTACATGGCGATAAGTAACTCCAGATATAAATATATTTAAAATCAGTAGTTACTGTGTTCAGTCAATAGTTAGTAATTTTTCAATGTTCTGAAAATGATCTAAATGGTAAATTATTACAAAATTAAAAGTCCATCTGAAGGGTTTTCCTAGAGTATTTAGCAGATTTACAAATAAGAACTCATAAAATTAATATTTAACTGCCATATGTGTCTGTTTAGAACTATTTATTTAACAAATTGACAGTATTCTACATTTAAGTATCAAAAATTATGCCTTAAATTGTTTTTTTCTCAGTAAATTTCCTAGAAGGATCAAACCTGTTTCAGTGTTTCTCCAAGTTGCTTTAAATTGTACATGGCCTTAATGTTATAACTAAATAATAGTGCTGCATTTACTGTAAGAAGGAAATGAATCGTGGATGGATAATTGAGTAATAAATGTGGACAGTGGGGGATCTCCTGGCACCTCTTCACAAACTGACTTCATTGTGTAATCTAAACCAAGCATTACATGATGTAATCCAGTTTGCTTTTCAATTAACACCACTGTTTATATTGAGACTATGGCCGCGATCCATGCTTGAATCTCTTTTCTGATTAAAAGGAAAACAAATACAGATAAAATATATTTACTTCGATATGTTTAAGACAATACTACAGGCATAAAGTGCAATTGTTTGTGTACATTTTTGTTCATATTATTTTTAGACTGTTAGGGCAAAAATTTGACTCTAGGGGGCCACCATAGTCTTCTCTATTATTGGGAAACTTTGCTCCACTATAGTTCCAATTTACTGTACAGTTAGGCCTGCTCAAAAGTCTAATCCAATTACTCAGTTTTATCATATAAATTACAGAGTTTTGGTACAATAACCAGCCTGTTGGTTAGAAATTGCTGTTCAATATTTAACAGAGGTGGGACCAAGTTGTTGTTTTGCAAGTCTCAAGTAAGTCTCAAGTCTTTGACCTCAAGTCCCAAGTCAAATACAGACAAGTCCAAGTCGAGTCACGAGTCACTGGCCCATAAGTACAAGTCAAGTCCAAGTCGTCTGCTTTGAGTTTCAAGTCATTTCAAGTCTTTAAACCAAATATAGCTTAGATTTCAGACTTTTAAGATAAACTGTACTTAAAAAATATAGTATATTTATATATGAATATTTATAGAGAGAGTATGTAGTTGTAGAAATGTTATTTTTTCCTTTTTAAATGTCTTGACAAGATCTTACAGTGAATCATTACGGTCAGAACAGAACGAATTCAGATTTAAAAGTGCTTCTCAAGTCTTCTCAATTCACAGGCCTCAAGTCCAAATCAAGTCCCAAGACAACGAGCTTCAAGTCCAAGTCAAGTCCCAAGTCTTAGTCCATTTTATCATGTCAAGTCTCAAGTCCTAAAATAACGACTCAAGTCCCCACCTCTGATATTTAATGCTTAAAAAATCTGGAAATTCACAAGTCCCAAGGAAGCTCGAAAAGAAAAAAAAAGTAGGGCCAGTTGTTTTCGTGTTTTAACTTGCTTATCGTATCTCATTCCTGAATGTCTCAAAATCTGCATCAATTAATGTGTAAAATTATCAGTTGTAACAGTTATATATGAGATGCTTTGTCAGGACCGACCCTGTCGTTTTGGCTTAAATTTGACCAAATTTTGAAAATGCTCAAAACTGTCTGGAAACGTCTCCAAACAACCTGAGACCACCGCAGATGTCCATATTAGAGCATCTTTTGTCATTTTGGGGTCAGGTTGGGGCCAAAACCTGACATGGGCAAAAACGAAGGGTCCTGTCGTTTTTTTTTGTTTTTGTTTTTATTTATTTATTTATACAAGCTCTATTTTTTTTTTTTTTTACTCTTCTTTCCCATAACTTTCTTGAGTGTCTCTCGCGGTCCCCCTGGAGGCCCCCGGACCGCACGTTGGGACCCACGCTGGCCCACACTGGCTCGCGCGCTCTGTTGACGCTGCTCCATTCATTGGCGTGTGATGTTTGGTGAGAGGCAGACGGAGCTCTAGCGGTCAGATCACCTCCTCCGTCCCCGCTCTCGCCTCTCGCTCCTCCGCCGCCGCCGCCGCCGCTGCTCTTCATCCGGCTGCACTTTTCACTCTCTTTTTTTTTTTCGATTTTGATTCGTTTTTTTCCACGAGCGGCACGAGACTTTTGGAGCATGAAAAGTAGCAACGAGCGACAACAAAGCACGCAACCGAGGAGAGCATGCACGTACGGGCTGCGAAGACTTTACCAATGCACTTTATATTTATTCGTCTTTAGTCTGGAACTGAAGAGGAGCGAAACTGGTGAGAGCATTTCAAACTTTTCTGTTTTCCATTCACGAAAGTGTGTCAGACCATCGTGCAGACACTGAGCGTGGCGTGTGCGTGCTTAGATTACGCAGTTTTTGCGCGGAAAGTGCAAAACAGAGCCGTTATTTTGGATAGATCTTGCGCGTAACCTGGATTTGGTGCTTTGGTATGCCACGAACCAATAGTCCAATGAGTGGAACCAGATGTGCACGGAGAGAAGGAGCGGAGAAGGAGGAGGAGGAGGAGGGGAGGAGGGGGTGATTCTTGAGGCTGCTCTATTGACTTTTTACAGTACAGCGTTATTTTAAGTTTGGAAAGTTACGCAAAATCCACGTTTGAGTGCGTAATTTTGCTGTCCTTTGTTCTATTTTGTTTGCACGCCGGAGACAGGGGATTGTAAACGTGACGTGGTGGCCAGTGACGCTCCAGTGGGCACCCTACGGGCAGATGTGACCTTTACATCCGGTCGCTGGTGTAATTAACAGGTCCAGTGAGGTCCCGGACAGCTCTGTGATGCCAGGGTGCAGGCCCCTCGTCCAATCTCACTGTACTGCATGAGATGGGCTATTGAAATGAGATAAAGCTGTGATCTGCTCAACACATTTACTCCACTCAACCAGTTGGTCTACTTACATTTTCCATTGGCAGTTTTGGGAAGAATACTTTGAAAATGTATTTAGTAATACTCAGTACCTGCATTAAACAGTATTTTGCAACGTATTTTGTTACATGGGCCAATCAGAGTACTGTTTTTGGAATACTTTTACACCGAATTGCACTTATTGTGAGAAAAAATTATAGCATAAAATTAAAAGCTTCATTTTTTTATATATATATGTCTAATTGGATGGAAAATTCACACATGCATTTATCACAAGAGCTGTGTTTTCTATTTTTGTCACTAATATCATCCAGTTTAAAGTCAAAATTGTTTTGAATACTACCAAATAAAAGAGTAACTGTACCAGAATACAGTTACTAAATATGTATTTTCGATAAATATATAGTCACTTTCCAACACTGACTATTAGAAAGTACCTCTTTGGTCCTGGTTTAAGCCCAGTATAATTTTGATGTCGACCTGGTTTAGTCCTGGTCTAGTCCAGATTTAGTTCTCATCTAGTGCAGGTTTAGTTTCAGGTTCAGTCCCAGTTTTGTGCCGCTTTGATGTAGACTTAGTTTGGTCCTGTTCTAGTCCTGGTTTAGTTCTAGTTTAGTTCAAGTTTAGTTCCAGGTTTAGTCCAGGTTTTGTCCCATTTTTGATGTTGACTTGGTTTGGTCCTGGTTTAGTTCTGGTCTAGGCTTGGTTTAGTTTTGATTTAGTGCAGGTTTAGTTTCAGCTTTATTCCAGATTTAGTTCCAGTTTTAGTGTTTAGTGTAGACTTTTGGTTTGGTCCCGTTCTAGTCCTGGTTTAGTCCTGATCGTGTCCAGGTTTAGTGCTGCTTCAGTCCTAGTCTAATCCAGATTTAGTTCTAATCTAGTGCAGGTTTAGTCTCAGGTTCAATCACAGTTTTGTGGCATTTTGATGTTAACTTAGTTTGGCCCTGTTCTAGTCCTGGTTTAGTTCTAGTGTAGTCCAGGTTTAGTCCCAGTTTTGCACCATTTTGATGTAGACTTGGTTTGGTTCTGGTTTAGTTCTGGTCTAGTCCAGGTTTAGTTCCAGGTCCAGTCCCAGTTTTAGATCCCGTTTAGTGCCATTCTGATGTAGACTTGGCTTGGTCTTGTTCTAGTTTATTTTGTTTCTGGTTTAGTCCTGGTCTAGTCCAAGTTTAGTCCTGATTTAGTCCTAGTCTTGTCCAGGCTTACTGCTGGTTTAGTCCTGGTCTAGTCCAGATTTAGTTCTCATCTAGTGCAGGGTTAGTTCCAGGTTTAGTCCTAGTTTTGCGCCATTTTGACATAGACTTGCTTTGGTTTTGGTTTAGTTCTGGTCTAGTCCCGATTTAGTTCCAGGTTTAGTCCCGATTTTAGTCCCAGTTTAGTGCCATTTTGATGTAGACTTGGCTTGGTCTTGTTGTAGTCCTGGTTTAGTCCTGATCTAGTCCAAGTTTAGTCCTGGTTTAGTCTTGGTCTAGTCCAGATTTAGTTATCATTTAGTGCAGGTTTAGTTCCAGGTTTAGTCACGGTTTTGTGCCGTTTTTGACGTGGACTTGGTTTGGTCCTGGTTTAGTTCTGGTCTAGTCCAGGTTTTGGAGTTTAATCTAAGGTTTAGTCACTGTTTAGTGTCATTTTGATGTAGACATGGCTTGGTCTTGTTCTAGTCCTGGTTTAATCCTGGTCTAGTCCTGATATAGTTCTGGTTTAGTGCAGGTTTAGTTCCAGGTTTAGTCCCAGTTTAGTGCCATTTTGTGGTAGACTTGGCTTTGTCTTGTTCTAATCCTGGTTTTGTCCCGGTCTAGTCCAAGTTTAGTTCTGAGCTAGTCCTGGTTTAGTTCCAGGTTAAGTCCCAATTTTGTGCCATTTTGATGTTGACTTAGCTTGTTCCTGTTTTAGTCCAGGTTTAGTCCTAATTTACCCAAGTTTAGTTCCAGGTTCAGTCCTAATTTTGTGCAATTTTGATGTTGACTTGGCTTGGTCTTGTTCTAATCCTAGTTTAGTTCTGGTCTAGTCCTGGTTCATGTCCAGTTTAGTACTAGTTTTCCTGTGGTGTTAGTGCAAGTGTGAACGCTCCCTTCAAAACACGTAAATCATTTCATATTAATACCTTATGACTGATTATCCCGCAGTTCGATGTGTTTACAATACAGACCACTTTCACATGAGAGAATCATTAAATCATTAGCTCAGTGTCGATAGGAACAAATGCTCACAAAGTTAAATAATCTTTGTATGCAAATGTGGTGAGTCTAGCCACATTATTTACTCCAAATGTTTTTTCTAAAGGTTCATATTTCAAACCTACAGCTTCAGTGTTGCTGCTACAACTGCTGTCCTCAAACCAGGTTCAGCTTTTGAGACCGGGGAATGTGAAGTGGGGTTTACGCCGGATTATTGTTGTGTCCATGGGCAGAGTCACTTCCAAAATGGTCTGTTCCAGTCACTGTGAATTTGCATCTGGCTTTCAAACCTTTCAAACTTAAAATGACTGTGAGAAATGTTCCTGAATAAATAAAATCTTTCAGAATATCATTTTCTAAACAATGACGAAAGCAGAACTGAGAATCTGAACCAAAAAATCACTTACTCTAATGTTAAATGTAAGAAATTCATCACGTGGAAGTAACTAGAATGCTATAGTGATCACTTTTACGGACCTGTCACGATAACAAATTTTGCAGTATGATACATTACTGAAGTAAATTCTATTTTTTTTTATTTTATTTATTTTACTATTCTAAAATGTGCAATATTGTAGAAAAAAATAACGAGCTGCAGTAAATAAAGAGCAGAATGAAACACTTTAATATTTAATTTGCATCTGTAATCAGTCATTGAACTTAAAATAACCTAGAATTCCCCAGTAATGCATCAAAAAAGTCCCCACTATTTTCATATACTGAACAATAAGTCTATGCAGTAATTATCACGACAGGCCTGATTCCTTTTATCAGTAATTATCAGCACTTACAAATGTATTGCGGTTTATTTATTACCTTGCATTTGTTAAGTTGTCTAATGCATAATTACTCCGTTACATCATATGAATCATTAATGAATTTACTGGTTTAAGACAAGTTCTCAGACTGTGTATTCTGGTCCACACGGCCCTCTGTCATTTGAGATTTTTGCATTTAGAGACCATTTTTTTCATGTTTTGGTCTATAAGTTCAAGGGCTTATAGTTCACTATTTTCTGAGCTATGTAATAATGTTGTTTCCTCATCACAAACACACCTAAAGTTCTGTTTTGTAAAAATAAATCTCTGTTTTGCATATTTAGGCTTTAGTGTTCCTCTCTCAAACTGAAAACACTTTGTTCCACCTTGTGATGTCACATGATAATGCAGGAAGTTCTCCACTGTGTTTTTAAAGTTTATCCAACTTCACTAGAATCATTTGGATAACTCAACCCTGGAATTGGCAATCTTTGTTGAACTAAAGGTAAAAGGTATCTGTTAACATGAAAACTACCACATTTGGACATTGGAAACGCATTTTGAGCTTTAGCGATGAAGACAAATTAATAATACAGGGTCTCTCAAACATGTGTGAAGGAAACAAAACACAACTCTAGGTCTGTTTTTAAGGAGGGAACAACTTTATAACATGATTTAATAGGGATGTAACATTAACCAAAATATCGTGATATTGTATCATCAAAGTTCTCACAATAATATCTTGGACCATCACAATATATTGAATTACTCTCTTAAAGTCTCTTAATAGCTAAAAAAAAAATAGGGAAGGGAACTACATAGACCATGATCCTTTGCTCCATTTCAGTGCAGACTACAAGAAGAAATAACAGTTCTCAGCACTTTTAAGTCTTAGTTCTTTGAATTATGTCTTGTCAAGGCATTTTAAGAAGGAAAAAGTAGCATATTCACAGTTTTGTTGCCCTCCACAAAATATTGCAATAAATATCGTACTGTGAGATGTATATCATGAAAATATCGTACAGAGAGATTTGGATATTGTTTCGTCCCTAATCGTGAGCCTCCCCACCATATCATGAGCTTTCCCACGATATCGCAATAAATATCGTACCATGAGGTTCATACCGTGACGATATCGTATCATGAGACTTGGATATCGTTACACCCCTATGATTTAAAGTTCACAATAATCCATTCTGCATAATATAAGACCTTTTAATTATTATTCAGAACTGCCTTATCTATGGTTTCGTCTCAGTTTAGATCAGGTTTAGCTCTAATTACATTTCTAATGCTGCTTGTAGTTTGGTGAGCTTTGTGTGCTGTATAAATACATTTTGATTGATAATTTAGTCTTGATAAAGTCTTGGTTTAGATCTGGTAGTGCTCGGAAAGCCAAATATTATGTAGTGCTTACTGTGAAGAGTTTGAGGAAAACTGGTTTAAGATATATTGTTTAAA